GATGCGATCTCTCTAGAGATATTTGAACGCTGCAACAGGAACAAACTGTGGAAGGACGTAAAAGATAGGTTTAAAAAAAAGGAAATAAAAATAGAAAAGAAAGTATGTTAGTTTGTATTTAATAAAGATGTATTTTGAGTTTTTGTTTAGTTTTCTTTCAAAGCCTACGTCAGACTTAGCCCCACCTCTAGGAAATAGCGTTACCTTCTACTTTTAATTAGGTATTTTGCAGTATTTTAAGCTAGGCTACTACTTTGAATGACCATAGCGTTAGCACCAATTATTGGTTTATAATTTTCTGTTTAGTTTTTATATGATAAGTCGGTAAACGAGCGCACAGGTACCTGATGGTAAGCAATCAGCGCTGACCATGGACACCTTCAACAGAGGAGTTACGAGCGCGTTGCCGACTTTTTGGGAAGCATTGGCGGCCTACGATAACCTCACTCACACGGCGAAACACAACAGGATGAGGTCAGTGTTGTCTAAATAATCACAGCAAGTAAAATAAGTTATTTAATAACTCGGAAAAAGTCACATTGGTACTTGACAGGTTTCGAAACTGCCCGCTCATGTATGAGAAGCAGGCGCCTTATCCTCCGGCCCACCACAATACAACATGGTTTCTAACCATCCCTGATATTTTCGCGGGTCAAATAGGTTTCGTGGTGAAATAGAAGGCAAACGAGCTGACGGATCACCTGATGCTAAGTGATCGGCGCCGCCCATGGACTGGACTCCCTACAGCACCAGAGGAGTCACAGGCGCGTTGCCGGCATTTTAAGAAGGAATACACTCGTTTCTTTAATTGAAGGTCGTAGCGGTTCAGGACTACCGCCGCCGGAAGATCATTCCAAAGTTTTGGTGTGCGAAGCAGAAAGTATCGCGTGTATGATAGGGATGGAAACGTTTTCGCGTAGAAAGATGGCGAAAAGATGCAGCATGGATCGAACAGAACAATTCCTTAGAACACTCCTCGTGGTTTATGCGACAGAGAACACAGCGAGGCTGAGATAATAGAGCAGTCAACGATTCGAACAGCTCGTCGATGCCCCCGCCCAAAGATGAGCACAGTATTCCATATGGGACCGAACTTACGCCTTGTACTTGTACAAGGTACTTACTTGACAAGTTTCGGAACCGTACTCTCATGCATAAGATTTTTTCTCGGCTCGACCGGAGTGATACCACGGCCTCACAGAAAACCGGCGTGAAACAACCACAGCGTTGTGTTTCGCCGTGTGAGTGAAGTTACCGGAGGCCCAATCCTTCCCCTCCCCCGATCCCTCCCCAATCCCTTAATCTCCAAAACTCTAATCCCTAAGAGGTCGGCAACGCACTCGTAACTCCTCCGTTGCGGGTGTCCATGCGTGGCGCTGATTGCTTACCATCACGTAATCCGTCTGCTCGTTTGCCGATCTATTACATAAAAAAATAAGAAGCGGGCGCCTTAACTTCCTGGCCACCACGATACAAATCTCTCTGTCGAATGACATCTCATCTCATTACAGGAAAGGGTACTCTAGGAACTAGAGGTGCTTTCGATGTCTTGTCGGTTCGCTAACAAAACAAATGCAAGCAAACACTGAGGTAGATGGACCCCCGTGGGCGAACCGCTAGTATTATTATTCTTATTTCATCTTTTTTAAAGATTATAAAAAAAGAAAAAAAGCGGCAGCCGTGTCCTGCCTGTGACAGGATAACTCCAAGCCACTGGTGGCTAGGACTCCAGAGAAAGAACCTCCAGACAACGTCCGTAAGGATTGAGGAGCCTCATCAGGTTTTAAAAATCTGATCTCACTACACAAATTAGCCTCTATTGGTAATCACGTACGCTACCGAGCACGTTAAAAAATAAATTGCATTTTTTTTTGTTCGATCCCTTTTTGAGAACTGGGTCAGGCAGATACTTACAATACGGCACAAAGTTAACGCGTTAATACTCAATAATTATACAAATTTGCTATAAAATAAAAACATAAAATCAGTTTTCTTTTTCATAAATTGTATTTGCAGACATCTCAATTAATATCTAATCCAAACTAATATTATAAATGCGAAAGTAAACTTGTCTGTCTGTATGTCTTTTCTTCACGCCTAAACTACTGAACCAATTTCTGTTTTAGAGGTATGAGGGAACAGGGTGGTAAGTTCCTCATCCTCCATTGAAAAGGGAGGATCCTCCAACCAGACGGGTTGTTGTGTCTGGTGGGCTACTGCCCGACGGTTGTTGTCGGGATTTTTGTATCAGTGCTAGTTGTGTTGCAAACTCTTGTACAGAGGCGGCGTAAGGCGTGGGCGACGTGGGCCACCGCCTACGGCCTCGCGGTACAAGGGGCCTCGCGCCTCGAAATTTTTTAAAGCGAAAAAAAAAATTTAAAAAAATTGGAAAACAGTTCACCTAAAGGCCATCCGTGCAACTTCCCGCTAAGCGTTTAAATTTTATCTAATGCGTCATTTTTGAGCTTATCGAGCTCAAAAATTTATTTTCCTTGTTGAAATACCTAATCGACAATTATGAACTGTTATAATTTTTAGGAGAGAACTGTTGTGGAACAGTAAAGGCCGTATTATTGCAATTCGATGAAGTGATTGAATGCATCGAAAGCTTAAAAAATCAAAGGGAGCAATCAGACAGCCTCAGTGATTGCGATTCGATACTAAATGAAATGTTAAGTTTAGAATTTATCGTATCTTTACATGTGTGGTATGAGATATTATCGCGTGTTAATATAATAAGTAAATTATGGCAATCAGTACAAATTCATTTAAGCATTGCTCTTGAACATTTACACACATTTTGTGAATGGATAAAAGAGTATCGGGAAACAGGATTTGAAAAATCCCTGTCTGATGTTCGGAAATTTAACGAGCGAAGCTGTTATAACCTGCCAAAAGAGTTTAGGAATAAAAGAGTAGCCAAAAAGAAAAGGATGTTCGATTATGAAAGCAGCGATCAACCTATACAGTCTCCCAAAATCCGGTATCAAACAGATTTTTTTTTACGCCATGATTGATTCTATAATAACCAATATGGAATTAAGATTTACGTCTTTAAATCAACATTTTGAAGATTTTGGTTTTCTCTATGATTTAAGCGCGCTAAAAAATATGCCGCAGGAGCAAATATTAAAACACTGTAACGATTTACATAACGCCCTGCGTGTGGGTGAGGGCAGTGATTTCCAACCATTCTATTATATGAAGAATTAAATACAATGATCCCGAATTTACCCAACTTCATTAAAGACGTGAAACAGCTGTTGTCATACATAACAGAAAATAACTGAAAAGAAATTTACCCAAATATTTAATTTACATTGTCATCCGAATTTTATTAACAATTAGGTAAGTACAGCCTCTGCTGAAAGAAGTTTTTCTAAATTAAAATTAATAAAAAATTATTTGAGAAACACAATGAGCCAAGAAAGACTTTCAGCTTTGGCTGTTTTATCAATCGAATCAGACTTGGCATCTAGGCTGAATTACGATACCATAATTAAGGAATTTAGTAAAGTTAAAAGCAGGAAATTTCTGTTCCTTTAATAAAGAAGACTAATGATGTTTAAGTATACGCTAAGAAATGTATATCTCCACCTTTATATTTACGATTTGTAAATTTTCATTAATACTTATTAACCTAATTTGTATTTTTCTGAATAAAAACTTGGCAGTGTTAATTGTTTTGTTTGTTTTTATTATTTTATAAAATCCGTCTTTGGGTCGCCATAGAACAGGGCCTCGCGAAATCTTTCTTGCCCACATCAAATTTAGGTCTTGCCCCGCCACTGCTCTTGTAGCACGATGTAAGAAACTTGTACATGATTGGTGCTGTTTGCAATGTTGTGCGATAGATGTCGCTACACTGTGAAATTTGGTAGGTACAGACATACTTTGGAACTCGAGAAAGGACATACGTTACGATAGTTTTAGCTAGTTAAAATATAAAATCAAAAGAGAAAACGAGACGAGTTGTTTCGTAATGGCGGGAATAGTTAATCAGCTTTCTTGGTGTCATTATGTGCCTAATTGTCATGTGATTAGAGCCATTTTATGAGGAAGTGTTGAAAAATTGTAACATTTGTTAGAGCATAAAGGTGTATTAAAATAACTAGAGATGTTTTGCTGCAAAATCTAGCATTCGTGCTGAAAAATAGGCTACATTGCTGCTAAATAATGGTGAAATAAGATTTTAAAAATCTGTTGTGGCTCCTCAATCCAGACATACATAAATATTAATTGTTATGTATTCATAGCATCTTCATCAAGGATTTGTGTATATTAATAGGTAGGTACTAGGGCAACAGAAATAAAACTCTTGGTAACACCACTGAACTTTATTACAACTTACCAAAAGCGTCAGTGTGGACGACAAAAGAATACTTATAAAATACAACATAACTACAGCGCTTCCTTAAAATACTATATCTAAAAGTATTAAAATACACTTAAATACAAAAGGGCTTGTACACAGGTATAAATATTGTGTTTCGGTAAATTATCAAGTGCGTTAGGGCGAAAAAGTCATTGGAAAAGCTACTAACATTGACCACATGGTTTTTAAGACTTTACGAGCAAAAACTTCTGTTAATGTTGATGTTTCTTAACAACCAATACAGCGAACGAAATCTTTACAGTTTTATAATCTCATCGTCTTTAGATCCAGCGAATCAAGATGCTAGGTACTTTTAATTACAACTTCATCACTTTTGCAATAAAGTCCAAAACCAAATCAAAAATTTAGGACAGCTTAACGCACCTTATACGCTGAAATCTCAACGAGACTATGCGAGATCCAAAACACAAAATTCGACCAACAATTGATTGCAGAAAACACTCACATATTAGTCACATTTTTGAAAAGTGTGTCGTCTATTTCAGATTGACAATATCATTCCATTTACCTATAACCTAATATTGTTGTTATTTCAAGTTGCTTATTGTCAAGTTTGACGTTTGCAACTGTCACATCAAATTGGCAGTTCAAAATGGCGACAGTTTCAAAGGTCAAAATCAATTGGCGGCAGCGGCGGTGGAATGTGTCTTTCCTTCCATAGTTCGAACTTCGTTTCTTGGGAATCTGAAACAAGAGTATATTAATTAGGTACGGATAAGAAGAATACCTTAATTTATATCTAATCTTAACTTCTCTTCCCGCTAGTCGCACTCGACATTTCGAAAGAGTCGACTGCTGGATTACATAGACCGAGGTACAAGAGCTCATTAATAAACCTGTTACCACGGTCGCACAGAAAACCGTCGTGAAACAACCATAGCTTTGTGTTTTGTCATGTGAGAGGTTATCCAAGGCCCATTCCCAACCGACCGGCAACGCACTCGTAACTCCTCTGGTGTTGCGGCATAGGCGGCGCCGATTGCTTACCATCAGGTAATCCGTCTGCTCGATTTCCATCCCATCACATACAAAAAACCTGCGATCTTGAACCCATCTGTCAGATTATGGCAATCTCCTTTTTTGTAGAAGCCGCCCTAAGTCCAGCAGTAGACTAATGGGTTGCCAAACTAAACCTAATTTCCTTTAAAAAAGAGGTTTTACATAAAAACTATTATTTAGGTTTCTTTTCTCGTTCTGCAGCAGCAGAACGCGTCATTGCTGCGAAAAGAGCTACGTATTTGAAAATAATTAAGGTCTTATTGTGAAAATACTCACCGGTGGCTCGCGAAGAAGTCAGGGAAGGTCTGAAGAAGCGAGGTAGTATGACGCGTGAGGGGGATAGTGGCCGCGTATGAGTGTGCGCGTACGCTGCCGTGATACTTGCGGCCGTCTTCGCTGCAAAGTATTCATGACGAACAAATCTGTCTGCTATTTATGTAGAACTAAGTGAAGATCACGTGTGGATCGAACTTCATCATCATCATCATCAGCCTGATGTCGTCCACTGCTGGACATAGGCCTCCCCAATTGCACGACACTGAGCTCGATGTTCAGCTTTTCTCATCCAACCACTGCCAGCCACCCTGCGGATATCGTCAGTCCACCTAGCTGGAGGGCGTCCTACACTACATTTGCCTAGACGTGGACCTGGACTCCATTCTAGAACACCTTTACCCCAGCGGTCATCGGGTCTTCGACAGATGTGACCTGCCCACTGGCACTTTAGTTTGCTAATCCTTTGGTCGATTACATTGTACTATTGTCGATTGTATTGTACATTGGTACTTGCCAGGCCTTAATCTCCCGGCCTCCACGACACCGCATATCATGTGTACAAGAAAAGACAAAGGAGGGCGCCCTACACTACGTTTGCCTAGAACGAACTTAACCAGCGTAATTGTGTCACTTGATGTATGGTTGTGATAGAAGGTAAAAAGAAAATTCTTAACGCACCAGTGATTTGCAAAGTGAACCTATCGTTGTTTTCCTCACGTCAATTTTCGACTGCTCAAATCCTTAAATGTGTTTGATCAAATCAAATCCTTAATGTGCGTCGCCGATGGCTTACCATCAGGTTATCCTCAGTCAGTTCGATAGCCGTCCTATTCCACACGAATCAATAATGTAACAACTAAAAGACTAAGATGATGAACCTAAACCTAACAGTTCGAGGGCTGCAGGCCTCCACCTCGAGGCCTTAAGGCCTAACTAGAGGACCACAGGCCTCAAAACAAAAGCCAACTCACGTGTACAGGTCCGTTCCTCATCACTCGTCTCAAGTTCCACCGGGTCCATTTCTCTGGAGAGTATGTGGACGATCATGGACAGCAGGATGCACACCGAGCAGCCAATTGCGATGCTACAACAAGCCACCAGGTACCCACAAGGAGGATACCACCACCACTGCAAAACATATTTCAATTTATTTATTTCTTTCTTTTTTTATGTGATAGGTCAGCGAACGAGCAGACGAATTAGCTGATGGTAAGCAATCAGCGCAGCCCATGGAGACCTTTTGGGGATTGGGGATGGGGAATGATAAGGCCTCCAGTAAACTCAAACAACGCTGTGGTTGTTTCAAGCCGTTTTTCTATGATATCACTCCGGTCGAGCCGACCCATTCGTGCTGAAGCATGGCTCTCCCACACTCCTATATTTCAATTGCTCATCAAAGATGGAGTTAGATGGGGGTTTTTGGGCATGTGTTGTGGACCATAAGCCACTGTGACTAGTAGTTACTCAATGAAATCCAAAGATCCAAAGCAAAATGTGAGCTCCTATTATCAAACCACCGCGACCGTACTGTAAATTTTACCAGTAACCGCACTAGAACAGATTGCACCATTTCTCTCGATCAGGGGTATGGCGAGAAGGATTGTCAGACTCACACAGACTAAAAAAATCTGTTCCTTCACCAACTGTAGGCAGACATTACAAGTTACAATAGCTCTTTCGGACTAGTAACCACTCAACGTTAGGCCTCATTGTCAGATCAGTGGTCTTTTTGGAAGGGTTTTGATAGAGAAAGTAATCAAGTGTCTTTTCACACCCGGTTCCTTCTTCCTCAAGCTGTGGTCGCTTGTCAAAGATTTTAAAGGCTAATCTAAGGTTTCAAAGTCATTTAACTTAAGGCCTACATGATTATGTTGTAGCTTCAACGGTTGGTTGATTCCTTTGTTTATCATCTCATTGCTAAATACATAATGCGCTGTGTACTATATCATTGTGTTCTTCTTCAGCCGATACACTCTAGAGTGTTTCACACTTATTTACATTCGAAAAAGCTGAACCATTAAAATATTTGTGAGAGGGAAATATGGCAAAACTAAGCCGGGATGGCACAGCTTGGCTTGTTATGAGATAAAAGTACGTACATCATACCTTCGCGGGGGTGTTTTGATGGCATAGCACTGTGAAGCACCGGGTTCAGCTCTCGTGCCTCGCGGGCAGCTCTTGCAAGTGTTGTCTCCACGCTTCGAGCTCGTGTCCGGTGGACATGATGCTGTGGACGGAAGAATGGTGAATAGTGCTAGAGACAGCTTATTCTGTTTGAGATTTCAATTGTGGTTTTTATTTAAAATTAACTCCCACTATCTGACAGTATCAGGAAAAAACCTGTTCTGAACCAACGAAGAAATTCGGAGACTTCCAAATCAAAAGGAAGTCCCATGCACTGGGATCTACAGTAGAAAAAACATACAACAATGAAAACACAAAAACAACGAAGTCGTAGTCTGACTCAACTGTGTTGAGTCCCGCAATTAAATCAATTGGAAATGGCTTTGGGAGAGAAGAAAGCGAAAAGTGCACTTCCCTTGGTGAATCTAATGCTGGCTCACAAATGACTTAAGCCACAAAGAGACTGCAAAACTGGGAGGAACGCAGTTGTAAAACGCTTAGGATAGTATACTGGGAAGACTGAATCAGTGTTTGATTACTGTGACAACTAATAACTTACAGCAAAGTTTGGACTCGGGCAGCAGGTAGAATCCAGCGGCACAGTTCACCACCACGTCCACCTTGCCGGGGGACAGCGTCGTCACCAGCTTGTGGTACTCGCGATGACCGTTCGTGTCTGTGGGAAGTAAAGATAAGTCCACCATTATCATAACAGCTACAAGATACCTTCCAGAACGTTGGGTTGAAACTGGTCGGCATCCAGCGGCTGTCTGCCGACGATTATGGTCTTAAATGAACCAAGAGTCAGGGAACTGCTGCCCCGCAACTTCACATGAGGAAAACTGACAACCATGGGTGTCATTACGAAATTGTTGATGACAAGCACTAAGAAATAACGACGAAAAAATTGTGAATATTACCTTTCTTTCTGAGAGAATGCGTGATGACAGGTCTGACGAAATGTCTCCACGGTTTTAGGGTCTCGTTGAGGCCATCCTTCGACAATACCACTGAAATAGAAGGATTATGAACTCTCCAGGTCAATCAAAACTCGAGTGTACGGGATGAAGGGCGGGGAAGGATTGGGTCGTAGTGTGGTGGGTTGGCCTGACGTACAGTGATACCACAGCCTCACAGTCGTGACAAAACCCTTTGACTGAGGTTACTGGAGTTAAATCCTTCAAGTATGTATACCTAAATACAAGAACCATCTCAACCCCCAAAAGACTGGAAACTTCTGGAGATGGGCGATCCCTGATCTCTTACTACTACTACCCCTTAAAAAATAAAGTCTGTTGGCTCTTTTACCTGCAATGTCAGCTAGATAAGGAGTGTTGACGGCAGAGAGCATAACGAGGGAGGAAGCAATGTCCCTCCGACACTGCAGACTGCAGTTGATGCGGTGATTTGGATTCATGGAGATCACTGCCGTCGACCTGAGGAGGGAACTGTTCGTGCCCTGGAGGTAGACACAGAAGGTCACTATGAGACAGATAGCAGGGAAGCTGGAAGGTGTAGAAGAATCATTGACTTAATGAGATATGGTCCTGTAATCAACCGATCTTAAAAGTCCAACCAAAACCAGTCAAAAGTTTTTTACTGAAACTCCTAGACAATATCAAAAATCTAAAATGTTAAAGGCCTACCTCTACTTCAGGCATTGCTAGAGCGCCTAACAAAAGACCCGGACGAATAGAACGTCTTACCCTGTCTCTTTGGCAGACCGGTTCGTCTATCCTCACGGAGCAGGTCTTCCCACAGTTCGACTGCTTGCTCAACAACGGCCCCAAATCTTGGATAGCTTTCAGGTCCTATGAAAAAACATGAATATAGAACAGAAGTTTTTTGTAAAGTTAGAAACAAAAGAAGACACTTATTAATGTAGGATTTTCAAAGACCCGGAGCCACAATTGGTGGATCGCACGAAGACTTGTTCCGTGCATGACCCGTGACAAGCTGTGCAGCGCCCATTGCGCTAACCATGCAGTCAAATTTGTCATTAACTGTTGGTAAGCAATTAGCGTTGCCCATGTTTCGTCCACTCACCAGAGATGTTGCCTAGCTTCTTCAGAGAGATTTATCCAAGTCATGTTCCCCCCACACATACCAGAGACGATGCTTAAGTTCTTAAAGAAATTTGAAGATACCAAAACTATAATGATTTGAGAAAAGACCACATGACACCATATGGATAACATACGTCATAAGAGCAGATTTCCTCAGTCTTGTAAACGGGCAGGAACACCACGTCGTACTCCGGTACCGTCATTACAGTCAGCTGCACTTCTCTCTGCACCGTTTGACCCTAAAAGTAAAGAATTAAACACATATTCAGCCACTTTTTATGAGATAAGGTCGGCAAACAAGTGACGGTCAATGTTACTTTTTATGTAATAGACCGGCCAACAAGCAGACGTATTATCTGATGGTAAGTAATGGTGCGAGTGCGTTGCCGGCCTTTGGGGATTAGGGTTTCGAAAATTTAGGGATTGGAGAGAGATAGGAGGTGGATTGGAGATTGACCTACAGCAACCTCACTCGCATGACAAAATACAACGATGTGGTGGTTTCACGCTCGGTTTTTTGTGGGTTGTTAGAGAAGATAGAAATAAGGGGATAGGAATAGGGCCACGGTAGCCTCACTCAGATTTAATGGCTATCATAATATTTTTCTTCGTTGGATCATTTTCCATCATCTCCACATATTCAGCAGCAGGTTGAGAGCTGGTGTCCAATCACATCCCATAGCTGGTTCTTGCATATACACATGGCTTATCACAAGTTCTTTTAAACCGAAATTGCATTATGATTGGGATCGATATTAACATGACTAACAATAATTTTAGCTTTCACTACATTCAAATAAATTAAAACTTCAAAGAAGATCTTACCATTCTACAAGTATACCTTCCCGTGTTTCTTGGCTCAGCATTATGGATTGTGACCTTGATGCCCTCTACCTTCACGTTATTATGGTTCAGCATTCTCTTCCTGTCGGTATACCAGTAGAACTTGTTGGCTGACGCTATGGGGATGTATGGGACACAGTGCAAGGTTACCGAGTCTCCAAGCATCACGTACACTTCACTCTGAAATGGGTTAAGTAAAATAAATCGTACAGGTAATTCGATGAGACACCTATCATTTTGGAAGTGTTATTGTGTTAAAATATTATTTTCTGCTCAAGTTTGATAGGAACACAGACATAGTCCAATATTAGACGGGGTTGCGGGTGCCAACACATTAATGCACCCTGGTCCAGCTCGGAGAAGGAGCAGGAACGAGTTGGTTTTTAGTCGGTAGAACTTTGATACTCTCTCAAATCCCATTCAGGAGAAGGAAATGGGTGATTTTTCGTTAGAAACAGTCTGATACTAAAGATTTTGAAGATCTCAAGTAAAAAAAAGTCATTGGTCTATAAACTCGCCCGCGGCGTCATGGGTCGCGCATTTCTGCTAAGAATTATGTAACCCTGATATGGCCTTGAAACTTGTCAACTTAGATTGACAAATAATTGCGTTAAATATCAAATCATTGTATTTTAACGGGTGGAAATAGTTCATTCAATTCGAATATTATAATTAAACCGTCTGGTTGATATAACGGGCTACGAAGTTGCTTACCTCTGTAGACTTCAACGGAGGTATATTCCTCAATCCCACATCCAAAGCCTTCAACAAACCAGCTTCCCTCTTCTTTCTTATTATTTTATAAATCCCATAGTCTCCTCTAACGTACTTTTCAAAAGAATCGTTTGAATCATCATCAAAGCTGACTATGTCAAATTGATCATTATTAAGCTCTGTATCGTCATTGAATTTAGCGACTTGTAATCTGAGGCATCTCTTATTGCGGATCCAGTCCCACCTTTTTCCAGTTCTTTGGTATGGAATAAAGAATTCCTGTTCAGCATTTTTGTATTTGTAGCATGATATGTTTTTGACTAAGTTTTCGAAGTCTTCTGTCGGTACTTTCTTTTGGAGTAGTCTGATGTGGTCGACGGTGGCCTGTATGTCACAAATCTGACTTGCTTTGGGTGTCCGACGAGAATCACAGGCCTCTTGAAACAAAGCACGTGTGTTAAATTCGGGAAATATAATACCACTACTTTCCTTTGCCGATCTGGGGAAGAAAAACAACTGTAAGATGTCAGGATCAGTTGCTTCTCGTCCTGAGAATCGACTGAAGGGGTACAGCTTCCGGGAATGCTTCTCCTCTCCAGCTCTGCTAATCAAGTTGTTAGAGGTATTTTGAGCATTGTCGGAGGCTGTCTTGTGCATAGGAAGACAATTGTAACTTCTGAAGTATTAATGTCATTGTAAAACAAAATCGCTGTCAAAGACAGGTACTACGCAGTAAACAAACATGGTCACTTCATATAGTAACACCATGCGTTTTGTATTGTTTGAAAGGCACAAACATAAAACTTAATGCTTTGATACAGGATCCAGGTAAGGCTGATACTACACATTTTTTCCTTCTAGATAAAGCCCGTGATGGAAAATCGTCAACTTCATCAAAGAGCAATTAATTGTAATTTATTCACACAAAGACTCCAAAATTATAATCATCCCACTTTTATGAAGATAATACTCAAAAATGTAAGCGACTCATTCAGAGGGCTAATAAATGCATGTTCTATATTTTTATCGACTGAACTTTTGTTTGTATAGATGATATCTTACTTTCAGTGACCGGCATGGTAGAAGTCTCCATCTTCCAGCTGTTGAGCTTTAGTCGTCGCTTCCTATTCAGCTTCTTCCGGCTAGCTATCTCCCTTAGGCTAGGTTTCTTGGCTACCTTTGAACAATCAAAATGATAAAATACCAAAAATGCTGTAGAAAAATAAATATCTTGAGCAAAAAACAGTAGACCGAAATGTCCAAAAATATGGTCTTTTACAAAAAAGAAGTAGACCAGTTTGGCCTGATACATTGCATGAAGTAACCCTAGTAATTAAGTTCAATTAAAAACATCTAACTTTCTCCTCTCCGGAATGCTTTGGCACACACGTAACCAAAAATAACATCATGGAGCCCTATAAAAATATTTCGTGAAAACTCTTAAACATAAGACCAACTCCGCCAACAGGGCGGTCTTCTGATATAAAAGAGCTTTTTGAATACATTGAAAACAAAGACTTATTTCACAAGAATTAGCTGAAAAAATCTCTACTACTTTCTGACAGAAACAAGTAGAGCTTTTCTCTGTTAACACACGAGAGTAGTGATTATTTTTAAAATACATAAAACAAATGTTTTGTTCAGAAACAAAACCCCATTCAAATTTCACTCAATATCTTTCAGTCAGATAGTAAAGCACCAGTAGTAAGGTTTTACCTGTTTTCCGTCAGGAGGTACGACCCTCATTCCCATTTTATTAACTATCCGATTGAGTAACCCTGCTGGTTTTCGGGCCTGCGTCGTGGGTTCCGGTAGCTCCAAGTTCTTCAAATCCTTAATCCCCTCAATGACATCATAATCCTCATCAGTAGATACCGCTTTTGGCGTTGTTTTCGGTTTTTTACTCGCTCTGAAAATATTGGGCCAATTATAAATGCTATTAGACGTTTACAAAATAATTGGATTTTTTTTTGTGACTTTAAGTATGTTTATATTGAAAACCACTCATCAGATGATTTTTGGTCAAAGCCGACATTTAAATTGTAAGTCGCCAAAAATACTTAATGTTTTTAACGACATTCAATACTTTGATCAAGATCAAGACTGGTGGAAACTGGTTATGTTGACACACATTTGGAGTTTAACACATCAGGGTGGAGTGCCGTCGCTATCTTTTGCAAGGCCGTGACGCTCGCAAAGGAGGCGGCGGAAAGGGAGAGAGAGGCTGCCTCCTCTCTTCCCTCCCGCAGCAGAGGCACTAGACGTCGTAGAGTGGCCGACCTGCGGCCACCGTAGGGCGCGGCCTGCAGACGACAGACTCGGGGCATCTAGTCGTCCGACCAGCAGCAGGCCTCGAGGCGGCGGTGCCGTGTTCCGCGTGCGCCTCATAGTGGAGTCCTGCGGTCGGGGTGACGGCCGCAGTGGGTGACGGGGCCCGCCTTATCTACTGGCGGGCCAATATCCGTCGGGGGGTTGCGACGAATGCTTCGGCGATACCCGCCCCTCCGACACATGGGTTATTGGAGGAACACGGGTTGGTTTTTAGTTAGTATGAGTCGGACAGTCCAATTCGCCCTTCCCCGAGGGTGGGTCTCCATGAGGATTTTCCAACCCAAAACCAAAAAAATTGGGTGTAACGCGAACGCAATTTTTAGTAACTTAACATGAATTTACAACAACAAGTTTATATGAAACTTACTTGGTGGTTGTAGCTGGGACTTTCTGCGCGACACTTCTTTTAACACCGACCTCATCTCTGTCTCTATCGCCATACGCTATTCTATGCCATTCATCATTCAGCTTATTCGTTTCGTACTGTATTATGGACAGCAACAGATTCCTATAACTGTTTACATCTTTATTTGGATCTTCTAAAACGTTGCTACTTATCTGATTGTCATACTCGTTGATAATGACGATAGTTGGGCTCATGCGGGTCGTGACTGAAGAAGAATCATCTAGATACATAGGGTCTGTTTCTGTGGTACTAAGTTTATCTGTCTGCCGTGTAGTCAGTGTTGTAGTTTCAGTCGTAAGAGGTGTGGTAGTTTTTTGAGGATGTTTAGATCGTTGAGAGACGCCGTCGAAAAATTTCAACGTGGCCGTTTTCAATTTGGCAAGGAAACTGGTTGCTGTAGTTGTAGTAACTTTAGTTTCTGTGTCGATAAGTGACTGCGGTTTGGTCTCTGCAAATTCATCTTTTTTTGGTGTAACAGACGCTAGAACTTTTGATTTTACTGTAGTGCGCTCAGTGGTAATCGTGCGCACAGTATTGGTTGTTTTAGTTTTATTTTTTCCGCTCCTCAAACTTGTTACATCTCGTATGATTATAGTGTCGCTTGCGTTCATGGGGTTTTGTGTTGTTGAGGTAAGTTTTTTCGATGATGCAGGTGTACCGGTTGGAGCTTTGCTGTTTGATGCCATTTTCGATTCCAATGAATCCAGCGCATCATAACTAGTATCTAAGGTCACGCCGTCGGATGTTTCAGTTTGGTCCAATTGCTTTTGGAGCTCTTGAAACAGTTCAGTTCTTCCACTTTGATCAAATTGTTTTTCATTTTGTCCAAATTGTTGTTCCTTTGAGTCAGACAGTTTATCAATCTGTTCGGATTGTTTGTCATCTTGTTGCGATTGTTTTTCAAATAGTTGAAATTGCTTTTCTCTTAGATCAGATTGTTGATTAATTTGTTCAGTTTGTTTATCAATTTGTTCTGATTGTTTATTAATTTGTTCAGATTGTGTATTAATTTGTTCAGATTGTTTATTGATTTGTTCTGATTGTTTATTGATTTGTTCAGATTGTTTATTGATTTTTGCAGTTTTTTTATCGTTTTGTTCAAATTGCTTATTTTTTAGTCCAGAAGTTTTTTCATTTTGTGCGAGTTGTTTTGCATTTTGTTCGATTTCTTTTTCTTTAGAATGAAGTACTTTTTCATTTTGTTCCATTTGTATTTCTATACGTTCAGATTGATCGGTAGTCAATGTGCTGGTTTGTGTTAATGTTTTTGACTTCGGAGTAGTAGACATGGGTTTATCTGGAACTGCATCACCTTTATAATGCATTTTGGTCTTTACTTTTTTAATACATTTAGTTGATTTTTTTTCTATCGTTGTTTGATCTAGTTTATTGCGAACCGTACTAGTAGTCTGTTCGTCTCTAAAACTTGCCGTGGTGTGGTTCAGAAACATTGTGGATCGATTAGAGTTTTTGTTCATTGACTCTATGTCCTGTAGACTTCCAAACAGTTGTAGTAATTGATTGATATTGTGCGTCAAGTCATCCATTGTAGTTTCTGCTTCTCTAAACTTTCTCTGCGGAGTAGTCTTCACTGTCATGAATATAGTGTTCGGCGTTTGATGTCGAATTGGCTTTTCTATTATCTTTTGGATTTTTGGCCCCCCGTTGGCCTCTTTCTGTACAACAGCGATTTGAATGGATTTATCATGTCTCGAATCCCTGGCCACGCGAGGTTCATTTGTGCTGGGTTTTATGTAATCGTTCCAGAATGCACCCCCGCCATCTGATATCAATGGCGTCACCACACCGTAGTTGATCTGCCGTTTGAAATGCAGCCGCGGTCGCTTAGTATAGTCTGATGTGTAATATGTGAATAGTTTCTTTTTACTCTTGCGTGGAAACAGTTTCTTTAAGCCCTTGCGTTTTTTATGCTTCGGTGTTCCAAGAACGTAGTCGAGGAGGGGATCGTTGAGATGTGAGTTCTCCTGATGTGGTACGAGAGACGACGTGTGCTCAAACGATTCCGATGAAGAGGAACTTTCTGGATTACAAATGATATTGACATTTATATTATCGAGTGAGTAAACGTTTTTAATCAATTTCTTCTTCGGTGGACCTGCCGGGTTTGATCGCTTGACCAATGACTTTCTCATAATACAATTATGTATTGCTTTGATAAACTTGTCGCCTTCTTCTTTAAGCTTTTGATTGAAACATGCTTGTAAGGAAACCGTTTTGTCCAAGTCTTCTGCGAGTACTGATAACTCGTTGATTACGTGCGTCAAAGAGTCTGGTCTGGTCTCTTTTGAAGTTTTCACCAATTGTCTCTTGTCAATGTAAGTAGTGAAAGTCTTGCAAGTCCTTCCTTGGCATTTCCCCTTGACCCTCTTGTAGTAGTCGGCCAAACTTTTGTCAATCCTGCTGACAGAATCTCTTAGCTTCTGCCCCCCACCAGGGTTCATCCAGAAAAACGTTTGTATTTCCGTGCAGTGGTCTTTCATATACTGACCGATGTTGTCGAACTCAAATATAAGTTCGTCTATAACAGCGTCGCTAGCCGCGCATGCCTTGCACATAGCCTTATCCGATCTACACTTGCAGTTACAAACTCTGTCGTGACCGAAATACTTTTTCACTGCTTCCCAGTTAATGCGTCTCCTAAGGAAAAATTTATCATCTTCCTCGTTTGTAACCTCTTCACTCTGCACTGCTTTGATCTTACGGGATTTCCAGACGGACCTTTCCATCCGCGGCTTGTTAGAGCTCTCCAGGCTCGCTTGGCTCACGTTTTCGTACATCTGAATTAATTGTTTATTGAACGCTGCTATAAAATCTTTGCTCAGCGTCACTCTGGCTAAGCTCTTAGTTTCTTCCCTAGATTCAGTTGGCTTTGATTCTGACATACTAGCTGTACTTGCTGCAACTTGCCTCGTTTTTAAATCGGAAAAATTAATTTTACCTTTAATTGGTTTGAGAGCAAGACCAGTCTTTGGTTTATCGACTAAGAGATACATGCCTGGTGATAGTGCACCTTCTATGCTCACGTGGGGGCTGAAAGCGGCGTTAGCATTCCTGCTGGTGGTAGTGGCGACAGTTTGTTCCGTTGTTGAGTCGACCGTGCCCTCAAACGAATGAACCTGGTATTCCAAGTCAACAGGCGTCGACATCTTAGCCGAGAAAACCTTCCTCACTCTCACTGGATCGAGGGGAGATCTTTTCTTGTTGGCTTGGAAGTCAAAAGGAATAGCAATGTGGACTTGAATTGCGTTTGTACTTTCATTGGATGGTTGTATGGATTTTGTGGCGTGAGGTAAGGCTATGTAGTTATTTGTTTGGAAGACGCTGGCTATATCCTTCTCCTCATAACTCAGGGTATTCTTCATGAGGTCTACAATAACTTCTAACGCTGCCACGTCTTTGGCTGTGAAGGTATTCTGTTGTGTTTGAAGGTCGCGCTTGATATCATAGTGTTTGCCAAAGAGGTTTGTCTCGGAAGTGGAGGGTGGTGGTGATGGAGGCGTTAGGGGATCGTAATGCGACCCTTCTTCGTAGTACATCTGCATAAGAAGAAAGATTGTGTTGTTAGTGATCGTATTATTTTCACATCATTTATAATTAAAATCGAATGGGTCGGCTCTAACCGGAGTAATACCACGGCCTCACAGAAAACCAGCCTGAAACAACCACAGCGCTGTGTTTTCGTAAGTGAGGTTACCGGAGGCCCAATCCCTACCCCTACCCTATGCCTACCCTATCCCTTCCCAATCCTTAAATATCCAAAACCCTTATCCCTAAGTCCGGCAACGCACTCTAACCGGCAACGCATTCTAACTCCTTTGGTGTGGCGGGTATTCATGGGCGGCGCTAATTGCTTACCACCAGGTAATCCGTCTGCTCGTTTGCCAACGATCGTTGTCAGTCAGTAAGATTCTAACATATCTTCACGTTGCACCAGAAGCCATACTTTCTCCCTAGATAAGATCTTTCTCCCTCAAAAAATGTGGGGATGGGGGAGAGGATTGTAAAACCTCACCTGGTCGTTATAAACCACAGGTTCTACGGATAAAGGTTCGTTTGATTTGTTAAACAAGCCCTTATTGTGTGACTTCTCCGATTCCGTTGTCGATTTTTCCACCTCTATCTCGTCTAAAAACGACTTTTTCGCATTCGTTTCGTATTTTACCGTTGTTATTGTTGCTGTGGTCGTCCTTTTGTTGATCTTCGGATCCATCTTCTGCTACCAACAAGGTTCGGAGTTAGTGAGCTGTATAAAAATCACCTTTACTTTCACCTATCATTAAGGTTTGATTTTCACTAACGATATAGAAAGTTTTAGGGCAAAGTGTAGTGTAAAAAGTCTTACCTAACTGCGAACATTGGCAAAGAGAATCGTCGATTTCCCTTTATAGGTGTTCTTAATGAAGTCTTCAAGAATTTCTTCGACTTTTCCAAATTATTGTGTTTTCGGTTCTTCCTTCAACTTTGGATTTTGTTGGGACATATTTTAAGGCTTTTCTTTATTTCTAGAATAACTAGCTTCTACTTTCATAGAAAGAGTACGATCTACCTCTGTGGTTCCAGTTGGTCCGCCAAAAATGGTTTCTCCTCCAGCGTTCAAATCTTCAATGTCTATTTCTTTCTTTTCTTTCTTCTTCGCTCTTAATTCCGTAGTTTGGGTTGGACCATCTGCAATAATCGATGCTGTTAGGTGTCTTTTGTAAATTAAACTTTATTCTACCTGGAAGTCAAAACCAGTCAGAAATCGCAGCACGTTAGTTCATGATAAAAGCTGTCTTAATGCAATCAAAAAGTTTGTTATACAAATACTTCATAACCAGGTCACAAACATCGATAATAAGCCTAAGCGAGAACGTGATATCATTAAGGTTATTGCAGAAGACTAAGGTGCAAGATGATTTCCGAACGCTCCCAATTGTGTGTAGTTTCCTACGTCGACATTTCAGTACAATTAAACATTGAAAAATGACTACTTTTAATCATCGATACGCTATCGATTATTTAGGTAATTTTTAAAAATATAAAGAAGCTATTTGACGCCTAACTTCTATTACGTCTTAATTTGCAGTTTCAAGTATCTTTTTTAATATTTTGATTAGACTATTGAATTTAACTTGTTGGAAACTACCGGATTATTATAGATAGGTATAACCATATTTTTAATAAAGAACTTTCCGAACCTTCCGAAAAATGGTTTCTCCTCCACAACTAAATCTACAACTAAATTTGATTATTGCTACACGTATAATATGGACATACAGAATCTAGATAACACTGATCTTTTACAGTCAAGTTGGAAAAGGCCTGGAGGTAGTAAGCTGACTTACTTTTTGAGTAAGCTTTTGTAGTATGCTTTGTTGTCGAAATCGTTGTGTTGGCACACTTAGCTGTTGTCAAGTTCCGCATTAGACTCTTGAATTTGTCGTGTAATACTGAAAATAATAAATACTGAAGTAAGAACAACATATTTTCTGTAGTATTCTTATCAATGAGGGCTAATATGGCTACGTTTGGTCAATATAGTATTTGCTAATGACAAAATATTGGTGGATCAATGTGCTGATTCAACAAGTAATACCTGACTAGCACTATCTCATCATTGTTTGCGTATAAATGCCCACTGCTAAGTAAAGGACTATTCTCGCGCGGAGAAAGTTTGAGCATCACCACGCTTGCTCAAGGCGGATTGGCGATTTCAAACTCATAATTAGAAAGGTTTCCTCACGATGTTTCCCTTCACCTTATGTCAGTTGTTTTAATGATCATAGGAAGTATAACTCGGGAAATGTCACATTGGTACTTGCCAAGTTTCCCGGGCTCCGAGGTAAGGCGCCCTTAAACTCGGGGCCACCACCACTTTTAGCACAATCTCGTGATTGAATGGGTTTTGAGTCTACCAAATCCTGCATGTCAGTATTGTACATGTAGGAAATAAGATTATGAACTCGCTTGATAAACCGAATGTGAGTATAATGTTTAACGGCATCTTCAATTAACTGTTTGACGAGGATGCTAACAATTCGCTTATTGTTATTATTTTTCATGTGGGAAATTTTAAATGGGCCGGCTCGGCTGGACTTGAATTAGTCTGACAGAAAACTGGCGTGCAATGAAATCCTCTGGTATTGGCGGCACTGACTTTGACTGACTTGCCTGCCTATCATAACCTGTGTGCTTGTCTACTGCCATTTTTTTCTGAAGGTGCATACCATCGAATGGCCCTGGATCTGGCCTGGACCCTAGCTGCCTCGAGCAGGGTGAAAGAGTGTCAGACTCTTGCTGACTTAAAACCACCACGATTCTTATCCTGCTCCGTGGTGCCAGAGCTGCGGTACATTACCACGCTTGCCCTCACAGCTAATCATAGAAAAGAACATCTCTACACACTTACGTGCAGATATATTGAAGAGTCTCCTATGTCTATCTTTATCTTTATCCTTGATTTTGTCTACGCTGGCAGAGGTTCGGCGGAGGTGTTTGAGATCGTAGACTAATGAGCCATGTGGAGGGCTTACTTCTGTGGAGACAGCCATCGACGTTCTAAGGGCAGAAACTGACGCTTCCCTCGATGGTCTCGGCGATAAAGTGGGGCTGGCAGATGGTGGGCTAGCTAGATAATACAATGTTTATTTTTTGGAAGCACGATATTGTCGATTAGATGGTGATCTTTAAGCTATAGTTCTAGGATTGTTTTTAATATTTTAAGGACAGTTAAGACGATTCATAATCATCTCTCTTGCTTTCTTCCTCCAACAAATTCGTTTCCAGACGGTCAGATCAGATCAAGCGTGGGGAATATCATCAAATGACTAAAAGCTGTTCCTTCTCCTGCTTCAGGTCAGGGTCGCGGTACTAGGTTGAATTTGTCCCGCAACCCCGGTTAAACAACGGTCCAGTTGGGTTGGGTTGGGTCGCGCTTACGGTAGAAGAAGATCACTCAGCAACCTAGCCCTGGATTTACCTAATACCTATATTCTGTCTAACCTGTTACCGCAGACATAATGGTGGATTCATGTTGTGTTGTGAATTCAGGCTGTAAGGTGATGTCAGCGTTCAAGGTGAAGGCAGGAGTGCTGGGTTGGAAGGTCTGTTGTTCTTTCTGGGTAATCTTGTCTTCTGGATTCTCTCCCGGTGCCGACAGTCCTCCCTCAGGCTTCGGCTTGCACCCTCGCCACGTGAACATCCTGTGTTTCTGTGTAGCCTCCATATCTGAAACTGTTTAAGCTTATGTTGTTATGCTGTGCCGTGTTTCATTGTGGTGTGCTGCGTTGTGCAATGTTGTGCGTTTGTATGCCTTTTTGTGCTGTTTTGTGTTTTCCTGTATTGGTCTGTGCTGTGCAGAGTTATGTTTCCATTACATTGTGTTTGTGACATATGATCTAGGTCCTGTCTGTTTTGAGCTCCGGAATAGGGTCTATCAGAGCACCTAAGCCCAAATAAGTGATAATGGAGGCCGCAAATCGTTTTAGCTGAGAATCCCAAAACCATTAGCCTTCCTCCCCAAGAAGCTAGCTCCTTTTGAAGGTCTACCCCTTAGCAAAAATATGTTTGTTAAGGTCACTCTAATTGACGTGAAACTAATCAACTAACCCAACACTCAAGAGTTCTGCTGTCTTTTGTATGTCAAAAAAAAACAAAATATATATGTGTCGAACTCAACTCACCCCTCCTGGCGTGCCTGTTCCTCTTCGCAGTTCCGTAGCTTTTCTTGATTACATCAACCTTTGCTTCGCCTTTTCTAAAAACTTTACACGAGTTACTTATTCGTGACATTTATTTTACTAGATCTTTATTAAAACTTACATCAACCAGAAAATGTTAGGTTATGCAGTGCGGCGAAAGGGAGTGTCAAACTCTTGCTGACTAAGCCCACCCGGGTCCTCCTCCTGTTCCTGAGCTGGAGTTGCTGCGGTTGCACCAGCAACTCCAGCTAGGACAGGGTTTTTTTTTGTCTGGTGAAAATCATCCCGCCCAGGGTAAGGCGAAAGAGAGTGTCAGACTCTTACTGACTAAAAAGCCCCGTTGCCTCTTGCTTTGGGCCAAGGCCGCAGTTCCATATAGCGCTTACCCCGCGACCCCGATCTCGGATAGTCTGCGTCTAAAGTTGATATTATTCCAGCGAGATATATCAGCAGTCAGTCTAGAGCGTGTCTTATTACAATGTTGAATTTAGAAAGCAATGACACAGGTACTCCTCTGTCATCATCGTCAGCTGGAAGACCCAAGTACTGAACCAAGGCCTCCCCCTAAGTCTTTTACGCCGAACGACAACTCGCCACCTGCATCTATTAGCTCAACGGTATACCAAACATTTTCTGGTCTTAGATGATTAGCGATAAAAAATATCTATTGGGAAATAGTCCATTATTAATGTGCAGGGTTAAAGTCTAAGCAAAACCGTTAAAACACAACACTCACTAGCAGGCGGTATAAGGTATCTGTCCTTCATTTGGGATCTCTTCCCGAAACCCATCGAAGGGGCCGGTTCAAATAGACTGTCTCGATCTAAAAAGAAAAAAAATATTAATAAGGAAAATTTGTATAAATTATTACATCATACTTCGAAAGACGAATTATTCATTTCGGACGTTTTGTATACGGGCATTTATCAAAGATATATCAGCGCCATCGTACCTTTTTACTTTAGTTGGCTCACATGAATACTACAAAATACAATTCTTCAAATCGTAGGAGAGCCATGATTCGGCACAAATGGGTCGGCTCGACTGGAGTGATACCACGGCCTCACAGAAAACCGGCATGAAACAACCACAGCGTTGTGTTTGACCACGTGATTGAGGTAACCGGAGGTCCAATCCTTCCTCTCCCCAATCCCTAAATGTCCAAAATCCTAATCCCTAAAAGGTCGGTAACGCACTCGTAACTCCTTTGAAGGACACCCGTCCATGGGCGGATTGCTTACCATGAGGTAATCCGTCTGCTTGTTTGCCGACCTATAGGTACCATAAAAAAAATAATAGAATTACTTCAAAACGAGTGAATAGGAGTCGAATTACTCCTATGCATTCATTTTGTTTCGGAGGACAATAATTAAAAGACACATCTTTTTAATACTATCAGGAGATGGTAAAGACAAAATGGATTGGATTTTGCCTATATCTAACTAATTTATTTTGTCGAATGAAGTGTTTAATTTCTTCTTCTTCTTTCTTATTTAATATTATTTACGAATAACTCCCGTTCTACTCTATTCGAGCACTCTAAAGGAAAGCACAGTAATCTAATATACAAAAATATTGCCAAGTTAGTCCCACTAAACTTCGAGAACAGCTTTTACTATCGAGGTAAGGCGGATAAAATCACGGACAGAAGCAAGTAGTTTTGAGTGCACGGTTGGCGCGGTGGTTGGGCAACTGGCTGTCAAGTGTTCGATACCCGCACGGAACAAGTCACTGTGTGACCCACAAATTTTTGTTCCGGGTCCGGGTGTAAAGTGTGTGTCAAATTATGTTGGTAAATGCTCCCACGTCACAGGAGAAAATCTCAGAGTGGGGCAACTTTTTTTTCTAAAGAGAAAGAGTTAATGTTATACTTACTAGTAGAGGATGGGTGACGCAAGATGACCATATTGTTTTTTTGTTGCGACCTCTTATTTCCCACTACTATTGTTTCGACAGGAGCTTTCGTATGGACTGTGAAAGAAGGTAAAGAAAAGGTTAGGCCAAGTGTGGGAGAGCCATCTGCGGAAGATTTTGGATTCCCGCGGCCCCGCGCACACGTGCGAGGAGACACCAGGGTGGTTTTAGCCGGTAAGAGTCCGGCACACCCCTCCGCCTCTCCCCAGGCGGAGGAAGGCCACGAGGATTTCCCCCCGTTAAAAAAAAAAAGTGTGGGAGAGCCATACTTGACAATTGACACGAAAAGTGATACGCACAATAATACAACTTCTAAATGTGAGAGGATCGGCTTGTCCGGAGAAGGTACCACGGCGTCTCAGAATACCGACGTGAAACAACACTGATGTGTTTCGTCGTGAATGAAAATAACGAAGGCCCAATCCTGCCATCCTCAAATCGCAAATATCTTAACTTTAAATCTTTAACCCAGAAAACGTGAGCAACATAAGCAACTCTTTAACCGACTTCAAAAAAAGAGGAGGTTCTCAATTCAACGCGTATTTTTTTTTTAGTATTTAGTGTCCATGGGCGGCGTCGATTGCTTAACATCAGGTAAGCCATCAGATCGTTTGCCGAATTACCCAAAAGAGAATAAAATAAGAAAAACACATATATACAAGACTACGGATCAGTCGCAGAACTGTCTAACAAGCTATTGATAAACATGAAATAGTGATACTTACAATCAAAACCCGACTTCACAATTTTCTTATTGTCATCATAGAAAATATCGTACTTATAGTGATGGCTACTGATGTGGACTCTCTTGGGAGGGGAGTTAAAATTCTTTACATGCGGTATCCCATCCAGAATGCTCGGGTACATTTGTGGTATTTTGTCAAATGGGTACCTTATTTTATTCATTGCTGTCGATGGAGGTTCATTCAAAGATGGGTCCACGTATTCAGTTGTACTTTTACCTTCTAGCGTAGTAAAATCAGTAGACGTAGTCGTAGTTTGATCATGTTCGTTAAAAATGTCTTTGTAAAGTAAACCATTATGCATTTCATCTTTTGCTGTAAACTCAAATTTTGGCGTGTACTCAGTCGTTGTTGATGAAATTGTTGTGTCTGTCCGTTCAGTCAATTCGGTTGTATATGTTGGCATGTTAAAAGTCTCCTCTTTCTTGAACACTGGCATTGTATAAGTTTCATAAGCCGGTGTAGTAGTTATATTTTCAATATCATCAAAGTTTATTATAGTGATTTCTACTTCTTTGTTACGAGGGTTGAATGAAGCTGTTCCCGACGAAGGATGTTCTGCTGGCGTCCCTTTCTTCTCGAATAATCGTTCTTTCATTTTCTTCTTTATTATTTTATAGTAGTTGGCTTCTTGGTTCACCTTATCTGATTTGTCTGACGCGAGTCGCGGCATTTTGCTGACTTCACTAAACCTTTTTTGTCGCTCAAAATCATCTTCAAATGAATTAGCTTTACTGTTCGATTGCGGCCGTTGTGCAGGGCTGGTCTTCATAAGGAGTTGACTGGTGTAATTTATGGATTTCATCAGCTCGTTGTTCATTTTCTTCAAGTCAGCTATTTTTACTATGTTTCGAGGATTGCTTTTTGTAACCGGGGGCTTTCTTAGTGGCTTCATAGCTATGTTATAAAGTGATGAAGTGGAATGTTTATGTTCTCTAGTAGTCCAGTTATCATTGAAGGTTGGTAGTTCGAGTGTCGGTGAGGTAACAGACTCCACATCCATCATGTGCTCCTTCAAGAATTTGTTGAATTCATCCGACTTCATCGGTAGTGGCGTCGTAAAGTACTGCATTGGTGCTTTGTTTGTTTTCAAAAATGGCGTGTACTAAAACATTAAGTTCATTATTAATTGTATTATTTTAGTACCAAATCGAATATTTTAATTGTAGAACATAACCAAAAATAAAACTCACCAGCTGCCCATGTTTCTTGAAAGGAGACTTGTTGACCTTCTTTGAATCTCTAGCTGTGAAGTAACATGTAAATAATCTTTATCAAGAATATGAATTTCAGGTACAAAATTAGTGCTAAGTAATTATTGGATTCTGGGAAGACTGTTTGCATGTATGTTACAATATTAAATTAGCCATGAGCTAATGTAATGACATAAACGATAAACAATATCACCTGGAGAGTCTACGCTACATCCTTGTTGACTGGACAATCTCTGCACTACATGAGCTGCTGTTTACATGTGAACATTAGCTCATGACGATACCTAAGGACGTGTGTCGCCTGGACAGTCTACGTTACATCCTTGTTGACTGGACAATCTCTGCACTACATGAGCTGCTGTTTACATGTGAACATTAGCTCATGACGATACCTAAGTACGTTTGTCGCCTGGACAGTCTACGCTACATCCTTGTTGACTGGACAATCTCTGCACTACATGAGCTGCTGTTTACATGTGAACATTAGCTCATGACGATACCTAAGGACGTGTGTCGCCTGGACAGTCTACGCTACATCCTTGTTGACTGGACAATCTCTGCACTACATGAGCTGCTGTTTACATGTGAACATTAGCTCATGACGATACCTAAGTACGTGTGTCGCCTAGACAGTCTACGCTTCATCCTTGTTGACTGGACAATCTCTGCACTACATGAGCTGCTGTTTACATGTGAACATTAGCTCATGACGATACCTAAGTACGTGTGTAGTCTGGACAATCTACGCTATATCCTGGTTGACTGTCTACACTACATCAGCTGCTGTTTATTACCTATTTTACTTATTTATTAGTTAGTTTTATTATATTACTTACATAGTTTCTTGACTTCTACACCTTTGGTTACGGAAAAAGCGTCATCGTCATACGCCATGAGAGTGGTATCAACCAGGATCGCAGGCTCCTTCGTCTCGTAGAACATGAAGGAAGGATCCCAAAGCTCGGGGCCACCTACAACTGAAAAAATATAAAATTGCATAGAAACATAGAATGAACTGGGTGGTTTCTAGTCAGAGTGTAACACTCCCCCTCAAGAGGAGTCATTAATTGATTTTCCACCCTCAAAACAAAATTTGCTCTGTTTTGTGAAGAATGCCAGTAAGCTGTAGTAGAAAGTTCCTTGCATAAAATTCTATTGACTTCAAGACTATGGCAGAAAGCTACTCTGCAAGCCGGTACAGTATCTAGGTAGCTTAATTTAATAAAATACTAGTAACTCTATACTAAGACTACTTTAATTGTATCACAGCGTACCTTTGCTCAGTTTTTCATCATCATTAAACTTCGGACTGCTAAGTTTCGTCATGAAATCACTGGATTTTATCTTCTTTACAACTACGCTTGGTTTGTTGTACTGGTAGTACTTTGCCTCCCCCTTGATCAACAAATTTTTGCTAGTCACAATAGTATCATCATTCATGACCACGCTCCTTACGACTCCTTGCTTATTTAGATTCGGATACTTCTGTACATCTGTATATGCCATCTGCATGTACGGGTCCATCACCTTGGAACTGTTCGATTCCCCAAGTGTGGGTAGGTCGGATTCGCACAAGTACTCGTTCATTTCTTTCAATTCCTTTATAATGTTCGACATGTTCGGAGTTGTGTATCTCTCTGTAGCGTCCGTCTGAACATTCTCCAAAATATCCTTCCACACCGGGCTTGGAACTTTGTCTAGGTTCAGTATATCGTTGTGCCACATCACCAAGTCATTGAAGTAGTCAGTGTACCTTCTTGCACCAGATTGTGGTTTGGACGTAGATGAATAAAATGGTTTGTTTTTACTAGACATTTTGATGCCTGGCACCGAATTCCTGTTATTTAAATAAGCTGAGGAATACCTACTACTTAAATAATGTGGGGAATATCTACTACTTAAATAGTGTGGAGAATATCTATTACTTAAATAGTATGGGTAATTCTTTAACTGTTCTTCATTGATGCCTTGGTAAAAGCTTCCATCGCGTATTGGTATACCATCCAAACTCGTCGATTTGAATTGTCGTTTCGAAAGTGGGAACTTGGCGATCCTTGTCATTTTGGTTTTGATCGTCAGTTCTTCGACCTTATTCGGTGGCTTAGGCATCTGTATTGGAATGTCATGATGTTTTGTGGAGTACATTGTTCCTCTTTTGAAGTCGCCTGTCGAGAACTTAGGATACTCGGTGGATGTGATTCTTTGGAGTTTGTTTTGAATGTTGTGCAGTACGAGATTTATGTCGTCCAAGGTCATGCCTGGTGTGGACTCTGTGTTGAAGAAGTCTGTGGAGTCAGTTTCTAAGAGGTCCGGCGGCACAGTTTTATAGAGATGAACGGGATCGGGTTCTGCCCTGTATATTTCAGCGAAATCTGTTATAAGATTAGGAGTGGTGGTAGTAGTTTTGGAGGTAGTTGTAGTACTACGCTTGGTGGCTGTTGTAGTTGTGCTAGGTTTTCTGGCTTTGGTGACCTTGGTTGTTTTGGCAGTCTTCATCGTCTTAACATTGACAGTCATCACATTATTTGGTGGATGCTTCTGCCGAACTGTTGTTTTTTGTGTCTTAGTAGTTTTATTGGCCTTTTTAGCCTTTTTAGCTTTTCGCTCTGTTGGTCTGATAGACGTCGTCGCCTGTGTAGTTGTAGTTGGCTTCGTTGTCGTTCCTGTGGTCTTCAATGTTGGTGTAACAGCTGGCATGTCCTTTTGAGCTGTAAACAGTTTTTGCTTTGCTATAGGATTCGATTGTTGATATTCAAGTTTGGGTTTTTGGAAATTACAAGTAACGATTTAAGTCAAAAAATTCATCACCTGATCCAACTGTCCCTTTATAGTCAGTAAAATTCATAATCCTCTTAAAATCAAATTATGAGAAGTTACAAGGTTTTCCGATTTTTCTATCAAATTTGCTTTGTACTGACTTTTTAGCTAGAAATTTCCAAATTGAGTGACAACTAGTTCAAAAATTTACCTGCAGTTAGCGCGCTGTCGCCGGAGTACGCAACAGTTGCCATACGCCAGTCAGACGAGAAGCCTACCAAACGATTACAAATTTTAACAAGATTCTTGTATATTCTAGTTTTAGAGGCATGGTTGTTCCTAGTGAAGTTTAGGCTTAGACATTTTTATATGGTTTAGGAACGTCTAGCCTGTCTGCATGTATGCACGAACCAGTTGGTGCAAATAACTGGGAACGCGTTATGACGGTAGCTCCCGCAGTCTAAGTGTTCCGTCTTATGTAAAATTATGATTTGTAGCCTGGACATATATTCTTCTTACAAAAAAGTAGACTAGTTATTTCAAACAAGGAAAATTGATTTCGGGACAAATCATTTTTCCAGCTATTACATCGATTGGGTAGGTAATAATTTGCCTATGTGTTGATTTGCTTGAATTTTGAATATATTGTTAAATATCCAAAAGAAGAAAATAAGCGATATAAAGATAACGTTTCACGGTCCTTTGTGGTACAAAAAACGACTTGGATAAAAGATAAAAAGGAACAGTTGAATCAGAAATTTAATTAATCGGGTACCTTTTTTGCAAAGTTCTTTTCCATAAAAAGGTACCCGAAAATATAACATCTACTTATCAGTCAGTTAAGTCATGTAATAGAAGAGGTCTCAAAATGTTTGTGCTAGAGACTTACCCAATATTTGTGGAGTAATTGGAGGAACTTCTGACGGGATCTCTTTGTGCTCAGCAAACGATGGCGTGACTGTTGGTGACGTAGGATAATGTGACAATAAGGCGCGGTCACTATCGTCTAGCTGAAAATGGTACGATGTCTGCGCCGTCGTTGGCTTAGTGATCAAGGCATCCGCGTCACTAATGTTGGGAATCTGCCTCTGCATCTCATCAACTGACATTGGCTTATCGTACTTCACAGGCTTAAACGTATCTATGTGTGACGTCATCATGTCGTAATCTGGAATGTTCGGGGGATTGTTGTACACTGCTGGACCCTCCTCCTTCCGACCTTCAGGCTTCACCCGAAACATATCCTTCAGCTTCTTAATAGGATTGAACCTTGATCGCCTATTGCCAAAGCCGTAGTTTTCCTCGTCGTTATAGCATGACCGTTTTGGCTTCTCTTTTGTTTTCTTTTCGTTCTTTTTAAAATGGAATCTTTTAAAAAAGTTTTTGAATCTGCTCTTCTTCGTGTTTTCCCGTAGCTTGACAACTGCCGTTTGTCTCGGTACTAGATCTATGTCAACGTATCCATACTTGTTCGTTCCTCTGGTTTTAACGGATGATTCAGCGAAATCTTTCGTTGCAGTGGTTGGTTTTTCCTCAAGTTCCTTGTTTACGAAATCATCAACTATAGAGACGCTACCTTCGTTCACTGTTCTCTTCATTCTGTTCATCGGGTTTTCTGTAAACATTTCTACAGGTGACCAGTCATCTGTGGATGTCCATGTACTTTGTTGGGCCGCCTGACTGCGCTTTCCTCCGAATATTCTCCCCATAAAACTTTGGATTGAATCTTCTGTATTGACGATGTTGCGAGGGGTTGTGTTAAGCTTGCTATGTGTCTTCAAATCTAGAAACAAAAGAAAAATACTGTCAGTGACATTAACCAACCAATAAAAATAAATGACTTTAAAATTTTTCGTACCTTTGTAGTAGGGGCCTACAGTTTGCTTGATCTTGATGGAATCCAATGCACTTGAGAGATCTTCCAAACTTATCGCCGAGTCCTTGGTTGTTTTGTCTTTAGTGGCTTCGTCTGAACCTATACTGATGTAAACTTGATCTTTCCGCGCAGGTTTAGGTATCATAGCATCCGTGCCATATGTCTTCGGAGCTTCAGTTGCAGCAGATTTCAACTCAACAGTTTGAGAGGTGTGAAACTTTTTTGGTGGTCCATTATCAATGAAGAGGTAAAAATGCTTTTTGAACCAGGAATCGTCACTTTTTGTAGTAATCTCTTGGTAATCCATGTCTGACTCATCTAAAAATGACCTTTTCCGCCTTACAGAGGGCACATGAGGAATCTTGTTTAGAATGTATTTCCCAATATCATCGACGCTATGGTGCCTGTGAGCTTGATATTTCACTAAATTGGAAAAGTTCTGATGACCTTGTTCTTTCTGGAATTTTAGGTAGTGTCTATAGCCGTTCACGAAGTCGTTGTAAGAAATCTTGTTGCTTAACCCTTCCAGGCTTGTATCAGTTAGGTCCTCCTCTGCAGAAGAAGGCATTAGCGTGGAGGCTGAGTTGTGGATGTGCTGCTCTGGTTCTGACATGACTCCTTCCTGAATAACCACCGGTGGCTCTAGGGACCCGTTATCTGAGTTTGGCAGTTCAGAAGGATGCGTTGTTGTCATATTCGCGTTTGCTGATGGCTCTATATCACCCATATCATAGTCAGGCATGTTAGCGCTATCATCATACAACTTCTCAACTACCTCCTTAAGTTTTACATCACCGAGAGTCTCAGGATTTCTCTTTGACAATCTAAGATGATGCCTCCTCTTCCTCACAAGTGGAACGTCTGTGGTGGAAAGCATTTTTCTAATATTTTCTTCGTGAGTTTTAGCTAGCATCTCTTCATATAGAGTCAGCATCACATAGTCATCGTAAGTAGTCTTCGAGAAATCTTGATCCGACTTGACAGTAGTCTTAAGTGTTGGAGTGCCACGGATATGTCTAGACGTCGCCTTTTCCTTGGTTTTCTCTGCAGGTTTTGTGTTATGAGCTTTCGCCTTTGTTGCTGGTTTGTGGGTTGCTTTTGTTGAAATTTTCGTGGTGGTAATATTAATACCACAGGTACTAGAAATTTTATTAATGCCTTGTTTAATCGTGGATTTGGCTTTGTTAAAATCGCAAGACACTTTATGTTTGACTTTGTTGTAAATGCTCTTCAGTTCCTTCTCCAACTTATCTTCAACATTATGAGCCATAGTGATTGTGTCATCCTTTATCGACCGAGCAACTATATAATGAGACTCTGTGTTGGATTTTAAAGTGGGATCGTTTTGGTCGATTTCATTTTCATTCTCCAGCGATACGGTTCTTTCAGCATTCTGGCTGGAAATATCTTTTATTGTGTCCATGTCATATCCCGTGGTGGCTATATGTGTAAGGATGGGGTCAGCTTCGAAAGTTGCCTCATTAACAGTATTAGTGATGACGTCTGTCACCATGGGGTTTTCTTGAGTAATCCTTGCTATGGCTTTCACCTTTATATCATTTAGTAATTCTTCTATTTGCGCTGTGCCAGCAAACTCTGGCTCTTCAACCGTCGTAGTTTTAGGAGTGGTCGATTCCGTTCTGTGCTTTGATGGTGATAAAGAGAATGTGTTAGGAACGCCTTTATTAAGTCCATATTTATTTTTAAGATTAGCCAGCTGCGTTGATAACGGTTCTAAGGGACCATTTTCAGAGCCCTCCGATGCATCCGCGACCCTCTCCGTCATCTTGTAAGGTTCTACAGTTTTTATTTTAAATTTGCTTTTTTGGATATTGTCATATTGGGCTGTTTTGCCGACACCTAGCTTACAATTTTTGTGGAGTGAGTTAGATTCGGTGATCGAGACAGGCTCAGCGATCGAGGCAGTCTCAGCGATCGGAGTAGGCTCAGCGGTTTGGGCAGGCTCAAAGGTCAGGGCAGGCTCAGTGGTCGGGTCAGACTCGATGATCGTATTGTCGACCTCTCGCTTAACGTGTTTGCCGTCAGGTGGGCGTGGAGTGAATGGATTTTTAGTTTTTCTTTTGTTCTTGAGCTTGCTAGCGCGGTACACTGCAGTGGTGGTGTGCTTCGGTACATGCTCTTTATTTTTTGGTATCCGCCTCTTCCTTGAAACATTTTCATGTTTGATCTTTTTATCTTTGCCTCTCAATTTCCTCCAGAAACTCCCAACTCTTCGTTTTGGTGACTTGTGGTGTTTCGGGTGTTCTGTGGTAGACTTGGGGCTAGTTTTTTGGGTCGTCGTTTCTGCTTCTGAGTACAGTTTGGTTTCCTTGAAGACATACTCGGGCCTTACGAATTCATCCTTGTAGTCTAATCTATAGTTGTTCTGGAGCCTGTCTCTCTTCAGCTTGGGGCTTCTCGTCCGTTCTACGTCGGTGATGGAGTCGATATCATCTACTTTGTTGTCGTTATCAATACTTTTAGATATAGTGTGGCTGTCTACATGCACCATCAGATATAATAAACTGAAACAGAAGATTGGTTCTGTAAGATGCCATCTGGTCAGAAGGGTTTTGAGCCAATCCTTCTGACCCAGGGTTTTACTGCCAGTTGCAAAACTGCTGTGAAGCTCTAAGGTGGCTGACGGGAGTAAAGGCATCACCAATCTGCCAATGCGTTGGCAATGCTCTGGTGTTGCGGGATGTCCATATACGGCGTCAATTGCTTACCATGAGATCCAAGATTGAGTTGAGTATAAAAAAGGATTTATTTTCAATTTCACAAGTAAGTTTTACTATGTGCTATTCCGGAATGTATCCTATGCCTACGCCGAATTTCATCCAGCTGTTTTGGCTTGATTTAGTTACTCGATCGCGTCAAACCAGCTAGTCATCATCATCAGCCTATAAGTGCCCACTGCTGAGCAAAGGCCTCTTCTCATACGGAGAAGGTTAGAGCATTAATCACCAAGCTTGCTCAATGCGGGTTGGCGATTTCAAACTTATAATTACAAATTATAAGTCCAGGTTTCCTCACGATGTTTACCTTGACCCTATGTCAGTGGTGTCTAAATAATGATAGAAAGTACCTACATATAACTCGGAAAAAGCCACATTGGTGCTTGCCAGGTTTCGAACCACCACGACATTTTGAGACGAAACGAAAACGGCTAGTAACTTTCGCATTTATAATATTAGTAAGATTTTTTGTTTAAAAGACATGTTGCTATGTTGTTTTTATTTTACTAGCTGCTCTAGTTTTAGACGCTACTCGGTTTTATATGTCACGTATCGTGATGTTTCATAGCATTCACAGAAAGAAGGACTATATCAAACAAAATATATTTTTTCAATAAAGGCATTATTTCCGTAGATACAGCCAGCGTGTTAAAACTAGTAATAGCTTATAAATATTTTAATTATATTTATTATACTTATTATAATAGTCTCTCTAGGATTTTGTCCTGTGTGTTATGTCTGAGTTTTTTTTTACTTGCAATAAACTAGTGCTTGACTGCGATCCCAGCTGATGGTAAGCAGTAATGCAATCGTTGATGGTAAGGCGCACTAGTTTATTAAGAGCCTATTCACTCTAGCCTTTAAGACACCTAAATTGTATTCGGACGGAAAGACTGCAGCCGGCAAACTATTCCAATCCCTCGATGGACGCGGTATAAATGACGAGGCAAAACGCTTAGTCCGGGCCGCAGGTGTCTCAACAACGTAGGGGTGGATATTCGCTGTACGCCGGGATGTCCTAAGGTGCAATTGGGATGGCGGAATCAAATCTGATGAGATACCCTAATGGGATAGGCAGAGCTCTATCCATTCATAAGAAAATGTAATTTAATTTGATGAAGTATTTAAAAGGAAGTATAAATCTTATCAAGAAGTATAATTATAATGATTACAAAATAATTATGAGGATATAGATTGTTATTATTCATTTGTAGGTAGGTTCTAGAATTTGTAGGTATATGTTTCCTTGGATTGTTTTTTTTAAGGCAATGTGATTGTAGTTACGTATAAGAAATAAAAATATGTCCAAGGTATTGTAATGATATTGTTTTTATTTAATCATCACCATCATAGGGGATTAATCATTTTTAAAGACCGACAGACAGACAGTCACCAATATCTACGTATAAGTATAAAATTAAATGCTACTTGTGTCGTTGTATTGTAAAACTCAATAACGCCTTTACTGGTTTGGCTAATTTTGGTCTTAAATTATTCGTGGAAGTCCAGCCAAGGTTTCAAATGTCAGAAAACTTAGGCGGAACGAAGTCTGCCAGATCAGCTAGTATAACATACTCTATGATGTTTGGAAGTGGATCTATAGCATAGGAGAGAATCATGAATTCTCCAGTGTCGTGGGTAGGTTTGTCTTGACTTCACACCCAACCCAGGGTCAAGAATTTGTGACACAAATAGCTGCTCCGTGTGGGGATAGAACCCTAAATCGAATGAGTTACCAGTCGTCCAAGTAAATTTGAAAAGAGACTCTCAGAGGTCACGGTCTCTTTTCAAGATCAGACTGACGTTTTGAAGAATCGAAGATGTCCACATTTGAAATTAAACTTTCAAACGTAATGTGAGACTCAATATAAGAACAATAGGAGCACGAACGCTGGCGTTCGCTTGGATTTTGGTGAATTAAGGGTCTTATAAAAAACTGACAAAATTTGAAAAAAAAACCGCTGGTGAAAATTTTGCTCTGGAAACGCAAATAAACTAATCTAGAAATGATTTAAATTATGCTAGATGTAATATGAAAAACAAAAATGGAATTTGACAAAACAGCCAAAGATGATGGAAGGTGAAAAAAATATAGTTTCGGACTTACCATAAAAAATTGATAAATAACATTGGCTACTAATTATAAAATTCGCTCCTTGCATGATACCATGTATATGTCGATGAACAAACAAATAAAAACTTTAAAATTATTGCACCACGATCGCACTACGATATGCTCTTGTTTTTCTTTATGTCATCTCCAGATGTCATCTCAAAGAATTTGATTTTCTTGAACGTTTTGTCTGTGATCTTACCACGGAGGTCGATTGAGAGTTTCTTGCTCTTTCTTCTACGTACAAATCTGTAGTTTGGAATCAGCAAATAGTTTTTAATTTAAGTTAGGTATAGACAGTAATTGTGTTATTATTATTTAATACGAAAATGAGTAATGTAGTTTGTTTGGCAGCGATATATCATCATCTTCCTGCCCTTGTCCCGTTTTATTTGGGGTCGGCGCAATATGTTTTTTTCTTCCATTCTGTCCTGTCACCCGTCACGCTATCACTAACTCCTCTGTCTTCCATATCACTTCTCATACAATCCATCCATATTTTCTTTGGTCTCCCTCTCCCTCTTTTTGTAACATGCGTTTTATCCCGCCTTTTCAAATAGCCATACCAAGACACACGGTTCCCTTTCAACTTTTCAGTCACTGGCGCTACTTTGAAACTTCCTCTAATACACACCACACATCCATCTCAACATTCTCATCTCTGCTACATGGAAGCGGTTGGGCAGCGATATAAGTAAAATTAAATGAGCGTAGAGCGCGAGTAGAATAGAATAGAATAATGACTTATCAACGTGAATTGACCGAGAAAAGCTCCACTAGTTTCAAGTCAAAATGGCACTCTTAGTCATGAGACGAGATTATCATTTCTAGTGTGGGAGAGCCATGCTTCGGCACGAATGGGTCGGCTCGACCGGAGTGACCACAGCCTCGCAGGAAACTGTAGTGAAGCAATATCCACGTTTTGTTTGGCCGTGTGAGTGAGGTTACCTGAGGCCTAATGATTCCCACCACCCATCCTCAAACTTCAAATCCCCTATCCTTACATCCCTAATAAGCCACAAGATGCACACATCGATCTTGTAGTTAGTCTTTTGGTCACTCGTAGTACAAGTGTCTATGGGCGGCGCTGATTGCTTACCTTTAGGTAAACCGTTTGCTCGATTGCCCACGTATCCCATAGAAAAAACCTATAAAGTCCTCTCACACGGAGAAGGTTTGAGTATTAATTATCACGCTTGCTCAAGGTGGATTGACGATTTCAAATTTACCTATAATTAGAAATTATAAGTCCTGATTTTCTAATGATGTTTTCCTTCACCGTTTGTCAGTTGTATATGAATAAACTTAGTTAAAAATTAATTAATTACTTAACTTACTTACAAAAAATGACACATTTGTACTTGCCAGCACGAAGCACCCTCATGCATGAGAACTGAGCACCTTCACGTCTACGTTCTTACATAAAATTTCAAGGGACTTACAGGATAAGAATGGTGATGTGTATTCGATGACTCGATGACAGAATACGATGACTCACACTAAATAGAAATATTAAACTGATTGATCTCTGAACTTTTAACTAGAATTGATTAGTGATTGTAATAAACAATTCTAAATCAACGTCATAAAGATGCGAAGTCGAAGTACCAAGACTTCCCAAGTGATAATTTTCTGGAACTGGACTGGATTAATTTTTTGTTATGTTAATTTAATTTGAAGTACTAATATAAAGTCTTTGGTGTTGTTGGGATTTATTTTTATATTTAGAATGCTGTTGTAAAGAAGATTTTGCTCTAACATGCAAGTAACGCCTTAAAAAAGTAAGTCTCTAGAAAAACTAAGTATAGGAGATTTTGGAATGAAGTACCTTATCAAGAAGAAAGGTTGTCCGAACTTTTTGCTTGCTATCTCTCTCTATATCTATCTATTTACCTATCTATCTCTCTCTCTCTCTTTTTCTTTCTTATAAAAAGCAAGCCAATTATTTTCGTTTTGTCTTTCTATTAAGGCTGATATCCAGCCAGGGTTGTGAATGCATGTGTATTGCGTACCGTTTTTTTTTGTCAGGAGAAAATCATCAAATGACTTCTCCCGCCCAGGGTTAGGCGAGAGAGAGTGTCAGACTCTTACTGACTAACCACCTCCCCCCCCCCGTTCCTTCTCCTTCTCTGGGTTGAGGCCGCGATGACTCATTGCGCTTAACCCGCAACCCCGACCGCGGCCGAGTTCAGAGCAGAAGAAGGAACGGAGTGGTTTTTAGTCAGTTTAGAAATTCGTGTGATGTACATTGTGGATGGCCCCTAAAGTTTGACAATAATCGAAGGTCGATCAATCAAGGTTCAGGTTTATCGGAGAGCACGGCTATTCTGTCTCTGTCTCATGAGTAGACCCTTAGTGTCTACTAAGGGTCTGTCTCTTTCAACCCCCAAGCGAAAAGTAAGGGACATTAATAAATAAATTCAATTGTGCTGTCTATACATATATTTAATATATTTAACTAGGGTTTTATCATACTGACTAAAATTCCCCGAATCTCAAACTTCAATTACGACATCTCCAATCACTATACTTATGTAAATAAAACTGATAACTTTTGAACTTTTCTCATTATAACGTCGGTCACAAACCGAACAAGACGTGTTTTATAACATAACATTATATTAAAAGTAGTATAACATAACGTTAATAAAAGAAAAATGAAGTTATTAATAGTTTTGTCAGTTGTCTGTCTGTCTGTGGTTTACGCGAATCATTTAATTGTTGGCAATGTAGCAAATCATGTGGTTTTAGCGAATCAAACGAGGGTCGAATACAACGCCATACCCTTTATTAAGAGAGTGAAATATTATTTCTACACACAACCGGATAACCGGCTTATTCAGGTGAGATTTATATTTATTTTATTTATTACCCACTAGCGCCCAGCTCTCGTTTCGCACGGGTGCAATTCTGATACAAATTTTCTCCACTATTTAATGGATATTATCTCTTGTAGATAAAAATTCATTCATGGTCGTTAGTCGCGCTAAAACTCGAGAATGGCTGGATCGATTTAGATAATTTTGGTCTTTAAATATTCGCTGAAGTTCATGTAAGGTATGAAAGGTCAGAAGATTAGTTATTTTTTGAGGTAATATGGAGTTTACCGGGTCAGCTTGTTATACGTATAAACCGTCCTCTTTAATCACTCTATCTATTCGGTATTGTTCGTCGGACAACTCAGCAGCACTAGTTAAACTGGTTGCAAACTGACACTTGCGTGCCTGTCTTCAGAACGGGTCCACTTAAACTGGTGTGGTTCTTTCCTCAAAAGACCACTACAGAATGAACTTGCACAGTTCTCTCACATTATGTTATTTTACATTGTCTGGACTTGAAAAGAGACTGACCTCTGAGTTTGTTTCGGCATTTCTTCTCAGAGTAGTCAGATAGGAAATGCCGGCTTCATCTAGTTTTTCACATATAATTTGACGTGTAAAAGTGCCGTTTTATGGCCTATTTGCAAAAATAAATTCATTGTTTCATTGTATTAAAAACCGCATCAAAATCCGTTGCGTAATTTTAAAGATTTAAGCATACATAGGATTATAGGGACAGAGAAAGCGACTTTGTTTCATACGATGTAGTGATTTCATTGGTAAAGTGTAATAAATAAGTAGATATCAATTAATTTTTTGTTTGTTAGAAGTTTCGTCTTACTTCAATCTCTAAAAGGAAATCCCCAGAATGTGAGTCAGGGAAAAACCGAAGTACAAAATGATCATTACAATTTATGTTACACTAGCTATTCTCACGCGGTTTCACCCGCTGCTCGGCTCCATTTAATCGTGACGTAATGTTTTATAGCCTATTATAGCACTCAGGAACATTTTAGTTATCTATCAGTGAAAGAAGTTTGGTAATCCGACCAGCGGTTCCAAAGATTACCCCCTACATATAAACTAACAAATTTTATCTCTTTATAATATAGATATCTGTCTGACTGTCTAAGAGATCAAGTAAAACAGTTTAAACTAATTAAGAAGCGCGTGTGTAACTTGTTTTTTTACAAACTTTCAAGTCACAAATCAACAGTCAAGCAAACGAGCAGAGGGATTACCTGATGGTAAGCAGTCGGCGTCGCTTATAGATAGAGTTGCGTGTGTCTTCTAGGGATAAGGGTTTCGGATATTTAAGGATAAGAAGGTATCGGGGGAGTGGAGATGCTCAGCCCAGGCAGGGCATACCGTACGCTCCACCGTATCCTCTAGGTGGTCCTCACAATGACGACACTCGGGCGTTTCCTCCCGCTGGATCCGAAACAGGAACCCACAGGAACCTACCGAAACTTTTATAATCAAACCATGGCGCGTATACGTAAACTATCAGTGGACTTAAGCTTTTTCTAGAATATCTCTAGAATATTGAGACATTGTTATTAAATTCAGTTCTTATATTTTATTGTAAAATTATCTTTAAAGCTGACATTGAACCTATGGCCCGGAGCACTACTGATAAATACTTACATAGATTTGTAGCGTAAATATTACACTTAATATAGTTATTTATAGATATAAGTTGTATTGTATTGTATTACAAAAGATATAGCCAAGCCAAGTCGCGTATTTCTCAGACATTTATAAAATTAGCTATCGAACTTGACACTTTTCTTTGCTTACGGGAATTTAACATTTTATGACTGCTCTCGCCCTGAATGGGGTGAGAGCTAGTCTCAGACTCTTAGGGTTGGACCTCACCTGGCAGCACGGAATCGCATTCATTCCGCCTGTGCTACCACGTGCTGCAGTATGCTGCCGCATGCGATCGCGCGCTATCGCATTCCGCAGAGAAAAAAGGCGATCGAACAAAAAGGTTAAAGGGTGCGTTAGCATGCTATCGCACACTTCAGCGTTCCGGAGTCTCCCTGGCGACCATTGCATTTTGTCCGTGATGCCGATAGCCTCGAGGATTCCGGCGCGTGCTATCGCATTATGCTTTCTGTCTCGGTCTAGCAAATGGCAGTTCTAATCGAAAGAAAGAGAAAGGGCAGCGGAAAAAGGCCTCCGTGCTGCCAGATAAGGTCCAACCCTTACTGACTAGAAAGTCTAAAAATCATAATTCCTTCTCCTGCTTTAAGTTGGGCCGCGGTATTAAATTACTTGCAATCCCGGCTGGACCCAGGCCCTAAATCTGGTGGGCTTTTTTTTAAAGAGTAGACTGATTACCTGATTGTATGTAATCGGAGCCGCTCGCAGAAAATGCGAAGTGAGTTATTACAAGTGCGTTGCCGGCCTCTTGTCGATTATTAAGGACTAGCTACTCGCTCGGTTTCACCCGCTGCACGGCTCCATTTGATCGTAGCGTGATGTTTTATAGCCTATAGCACTCAGGAACATTGTAGCTATCTATCAGTGAAAGAATTTTGGCAATCCGAAAAAATTACCAAGATTACCCCCTCGTTCCAAAGATTACCCCTACATACAAACTTACAAATTTTACCTCTTTATAATATTAGTACCTATAGATTTAAGGATAATAATAGGGTACCTACATTAGGCGCTGTGAGGATTGGGATCTGGTCTAATAGTTTTTTTATGGCTCGGACTGGTTACCGTATGTGTTTAGTTTTGTTGTTACCCTGGCTTGTCGTCCGCAGACCTACGGATCCACTTGGGCATATAGGGCATTCGTAAAACGCTTGTATCCAACCAAATGGCTGAAGAACAACTAACTATGTCGTTCCGGTACGACGAGATTACGGTCATAGCGCTGAATATAAATCCAAACTGTTAATTACTGAGAAGTAATCTTAAATAATTATTTGTCTGACACGTTGTTGAATCGTTTATTGAATCGCTTACGACCATTTTCATCAGATTCTTTGGTACTTTTTACGTAAGAAAGCCATGCTTCAGAACTACGGCTACGAGTGGTGTCGACCGGAGTGATACCACGGCCTCACAGCAAACCGGCGTGAAGAAAAACTTACGTTGTGTTTCGCCGTGTGAGTGAAATTACCGGAGGCCCAATCCTTCCCTCTTTATCCTTAATTTCCTTATCTTTAAATCTATCCTAATATTATAGAGGTAAAATTTGTAAGTTTGTATGTAGGGGGTAATCTTTGGATTGCCAAAATTCTTTCACTGATAAATAGCTGCAATGTTCCTGAGTGCTATAGGCTATAAAACATCACGTTACGATTAAATGGAGCATGGAGCCGAGCAGCGGGTGTAACCGCGCGTGAGTAGCTAGTCGTTAATATCCCACAAGAGGCCGGTACGTACTTGTAGTAACTTCTTTGATATTATGAGTGTCCATGGGCGGCGCTGATTGCTTACCATCAGGTAATCCGTCTGCTCGTTTGCCGGTCAATTACACAAAAAAAAATTCAGGTGAGGAAGGCTTGAGGCTATAAAACATCACGCTACAATCTAGAGGAGGCGAGCAGCGGGTGAAACCGCGCGAGATAAGCTAGTATTATGATAATGGTTTTAAGTGATTTTTTTTATCCTTTCCAGGGTATCCAAGCTCTCGACACTATGCACAGTAAGGCCTCAATCAATATAACTGCTGGAGGGGTCGGATACTCCTATGTGAACCTTCGGCTAAAGAGTGAACGCGGCAGAGGACTGAGCTACGATATAGGAATATATGTACAAGACATTTTCTACCATTAAATGTTAAATTTCATATTGGTTGTAGTTTCATTTCTTTTATTCATATTTACTAGTGCTTGACTGCATCCCACCTGATGGTAAGTAGTGATGCAATCGTTGATGGTATGGCGCACTACGAGTAAAGGCAGCTCGCCGCCCGACCAGAACCAGACAAGAGCGTTCCGCGCGTGCCTCAAAGAGCCAATAGACCACCACAGACGGGGCCTATAGGGCTGATGTTCAGCCGGGAAAACTAAAACCCAACTACGACAAAAACTCACAATGTACTAGTAAAGCGCTTTCAAATGATAGGTACCTAACACGACATATTTATCTACACTTTATTTTTCCTCTGAATATTTTGTAATGATATGTCATTTGTCTAATTCTGATAAGTAGTTTAGAAGTTACGAGGGAACAGATGAACATACACACATACATACATAGCCTGCCAAAATCATAACCCTCCTTTTGCTTTGCCGTAGTCGGGTAAAAACAAAGGTGATCCATAAAAATAAAGGCAATAAAAAATACGTTAGACATATCTTAAATAATATTTATTACAAGTCTTGATTTAAATAATCACAGTACTCCCTTTCAAGGGCCTTTAAAGCGCCCTCTGTTGCCAGTAGAGCGTTTTGTTTTCTTAAATTGTCGATCAACGCCATCTGTCGGTCGCTCCTTGTATTTAAAACTTTGATGTGCGCTTCTAGCCGAGAGATGGCGTTCTGATGTGATGTTGAGAGATTACGAGACGATTCACGAAAGTCCTGAAAAGAAAGGGGACAATTAATTAATCATTCATGTGTTAGTATATAATATTCCACAACATCAAACATATATAAATGTTAATAGTTTTTGCCCGCGACTCCGTTCGCGTGGAATAGTGACTTCCTGCAGATTTTTGGTATAAAAACTATCCTATGTCCTTACCATGTCTGTAGTAGTCTGTCTGTACCATATTTCACAGAAACCGGTTCAGTAGCTTAGGAGTGAAAAAAAGAAAGAAAGAAAGACAGACAGACAGATAGCCAACCAGAGCTACTTTCGTATTTATTGGTATTTATAATATTAGTTTGGATTATCGCTTCCTTTCACGGGACCACCCAGATAGGCTTGCCAGATCGCCGGCAAGTCCGGAATTGCTCCGGAATTTTACCTCTTGTCCCGTCTCCAGTATACTATTTATTTACTACTACTATTTTTTTAAGGCTTTATGAGCAAAGAATTAGAAATTGAGTTATTTTTAAATTGTAATAATGTGGATATTTTGTGTATAACTGAACATTGGCTAAAACCTCATCAGCTCATGTTCAATTTTGGTAAGCACCAGATTGGTAGCTCGTTCAGCAGAGTAAACGCTATACATGGTGGCTCACTTATACTGATAAGTAATCAGCTTAAATTCAAAGATCGCAAAGATATAGTTAGTTACTCTGTTGAGCGTACTGTTGAAATAGCCTGTGTGGAATTGGAGCGGTTTATTGTATTAAGCGTGTATAGACCACCTTCAGGTTTGTATGACTGTTTTGAAACAGTAATGGATGAAGTATTAAGTAAACTTACAAATTCAAAGAAATCCATCATTACATGTGGTGATTTTAATATAAATTTATTAGAAAAATGTAGTTTAAGCACAAAAATTGTAAGTTTATTTTCTTCATACAACCTTGCGAATTTGTTTCTGGAGCCAACTAGGATAACACCCACTAGTGCCACTTGCCTGGACAATATTTATACCGACATTGTGCCAGTTAACAAAGAAATAATTTCAGTACTTGATTCCGATCATTGTGGTCAGTTAATTTCTTTAACAAATGAAATAAATATAGTGTCAAAACAATTTATCACAGTTAATCCGAAGACTAAAAGACGCATTGAATTTTTCAAAGCTAAACTCAGCAACAAATTGCCTTTGTTGTTGAATTATAAGAATTCTAACACTTTATATGATAAGTTTTTTAGAATGTACCTAACAGAGTTTAAGTCTACTTTTACAGATAAAACTATTCCAGCTAATAGCAATGTGTCTTTTGGTGATTGGGCAACCACTGGTATCTATAAGAGTAGAAATCGCCTCTATGAGCTCTATAATGAGCGGACATATATTAATACTGTTGAATTCAGTGAATATGTAAAAAACTATTCTAAATTATTTAAAAAAGTTTGCTCTATTGCAAAATCTCTATTCTTAAGCTCTAAGATAAAGAACAGTACCAATGTTATCAAAGACACTTGGAACATTATCAACAGTGAGGCAGGAAGGTCTAAAAAAAGAATTAGTCAACATAGTCTAGTAATTGATAATAAGTTAATAAAAGCGGATGTAGAAATTGCAACTGCTTTTGAACATTTCTTTTCCGACATTCCTGTATCCACTACAAAGTCACTGAATTCATCTCCCACTGTTGCAGAGTCTTTACTCAAAGAACATGTTGTAGCTTGCGATTCAGGGTTTTCCTTCAAACACATAGATAACAAAGACATTGTTAAAATCTTTAATACTTTGAATAACAAAAAGACTGCAGATCTATGGGGTAATTCTGTGTACATTACAAGCTCTGTAATAACTATTGTAGCACCTGTATTGGCTCAAATCTTTAATAACTGTATTGACTGTGGTGTGTTTCCTGATCTTATGAAATGTAGTAAAATAATTCCATTATTTAAATCAGGTAGTACTTCTGACCCCACTAACTTTAGACCTATTTCAGTACTACCTACGTTCAGTAAAATTTTTGAAAAAATCATTTTAGATCAAATGCAAAGATTTTTTAATAGAAATAAATTATTACATGCGAAGCAGTTCGGATTTACAAGGGGTCGTTCAACAACTGATGCCGGTGTTGAACTTCTTAATCATATTTACGACGCATGGGAGGACTCAAGCGACGCTTTGGGAATATTTTGTGATTTATCCAAGGCGTTCGATTGCGTGCTTCATGATACACTGATCAGGAAGCTTTCCCATTACGGAATTAGAGGTGCATCTCTGGACCTTCTTACCTCATACCTGAGTAATAGGGTTCAGAGAGTCGAAGTAAACGGAATGGTTTCTGCCGGGTCTGTTGTGAAGATGGGTGTTCCGCAGGGTTCTATTCTCGGCCCGTTTTTATTTCTTATCTATATTAATGACTTGCCTTACCTTGTAAGGGATAAACACGAGATAGTGCTGTTTGCTGATGATACCTCACTATTATTCAAACTCAGACGACGACAATCATTAATTGACAATGTAAACAGTGCTCTCTCAGAAATAGTTCACTGGTTTGGTGTGAATAACTTATTACTAAACGAAACTAAAACTAAATGTATTAAATTCACAACACCAAATGTTAAACAGATAAAAACCAGTGTGCTTGTCAAGGGCGAGGAGTTGAGTCCTGTAGATACAACTGTCTTTTTAGGTATAACCCTGGACGCTAAGCTCCAGTGGGGCCCACATATAGATGGCTTGTCGAAGAAGCTCAGTTCTGCAGCATATGCCGTTAAAAAAATTAGAAATTTAACAGATATAGATACAGCGCGGTTAGTTTATTTTGGTTATTTCCACAGCATCATGTCATACGGTATTTTGTTGTGGGGGAATGCTGCTGACATCCAGTCTATTTTTGTTCTGCAGAAAAGGGCTATTCGATCAATCTATAATCTTAGTCCGAGGCATTCGCTCAGAGAATTATTTAAGGAATCTAAAATAATGACAGTTGCCTCTCAATATATTTATGAAAATGTAATTCACGCTCATAAAAACAAAAGCTTATTTAAGAAATATAGTGATATACATAATATCAACACGAGGGGGAAAAACAAATATGTTGTGCCTGCCTCCAGGCTTCAGAAAATAAGTAGTTCGTTTAGGTGTCAATGTATACGCTTTTACAATAAAATTCCTAGCGATATTCAAAATTTGAGCCTCAATAAATTTAAAAGTGTAATAAAGGCTAAACTTTGCTGTAAAGCATTTTATAAAATAAAAGACTACTTAGAGGATAGTCAGGCTTGGGAATGAGCCGCTGTAATGTCTGCACAGGTCATGTTGACATGTTTGTAACATAAGTTACACTTTTATATACAATTTGACATTACGTTTATTTATTTTTTTTATACAATGACATGATCACCTATTGTGACATTTTTATTTTTTATTTGACATTTTTTTTTTATTTATTTGTTGACATTTTTATTATTTTATATTTATTGTTAGTGTAAGGACCGTGTGAGATTTGTCGTGCTTTTTTATCACCAGTCATCTGCGTTCTGACAGTTTGAGTACTTGCGCGACCCACCCAAATGTTCTTTTGATCGGTATTGTTCGTCGGACAACTCAACAGCACTAGCTATATGGTTGCAAACTGACACTTGCGTCCTGTCTTCAGAACGGGTCCACTTAAACTGGTGTGGTTCTTTCCTCAAAAGACCACTACAGAATGAACTTGCACGGTTCTCTCACATTATGTTATTTTATATTGTCTGGACTTGAAAAGAGACTGACCTCTGAGTTTGTTTCGGCATTTCTTCTCAGAGTAGTCAGATAGGAAATGCCGGCTTCATCTAGTTTTTCACATATAATTTGACGTGTAAAAGTGCCGTTTTAAGGCCTATTTGCAAAAATAAATTCATTGTTTCATTGTTTCATTGTTTCATTACTATTTTTTAACAAAATAAATTAGCAATGAATCAGGACTGGCTGAAAACGTCCGCCGACGAACGATTTCAGGACGGCGGGAGTGTTTACATTTGAATTAAAATGCCAAAAGCTCGACTTCTTTTTTAGATACATTGTTATCGCCTCTACTAGGCGAGAGAAATCATTGGATGATTTTGTGTACTGCGGCGGATGGGGCGTGAGGAGGAGGATAGCTACCTCATGCGCTCAACCTCTTTGCGAGCATAACTGCTTTACAGAAAGAGGAGACGGCTTCGCGGTTCCGCTCGCTACGCACCATAGCCTCGACTAAGACCGGGTGCTAGTGGCCGCCGCCATTGATCACTTCCCTGAGAAAACGACGGTGCTGAGCCCAAGCACCGCCACCGTATGCTCCAACATGATCACACAAAAGGTCTACCTTCTCAGTTCGTTTAGCGGTTTCCAGTTGCTGCTTCAGATTGTCAATGGTCTCCTGTTGTGACGCACTCTTCGCTTCAGCACTGGCGCATTTGAACCTGTACCTCTTCAGCTCACATGCCAGTTTGTCCGTCTCAGTCCTTTGTTCTTTGTATAGTCTTTCTTTATCCTGAAAAAGAATGGTAGAAGTTAGCTTTTTGCTAGTAAAGGGCAGGCCTTTGGCAACAAGTGTGGGAGAGCCATGCTTCGGCACGAATGGGTCGGCTCGACCGCAGTGATACCACGGCCTCACAGAAAACCTGCGTGAAATAACCACAGCATTGTGTTTCACCGTGTGAGTGAGGTTACCGGAAGCCCAATCCTTCCCCTCCCCCAAAACCTCCTCAATCCCTAAATCTCCAGAAAAAATTCCAACATAAGTTCTGTTTTTTTTTTTAATAATCTACCAATTCCGGAGGAATTTCCATATTAATATATGCGTTCCAGACCCATTTCAATCTACCTACTCCGATCACTGATAATAGCACATACTCACATTAAGTTTAGCCAGTAGCACCAAGTTCTTGCCCTTCATATCAGCTGTGGCTGCCGACATACTGTTCATCTTGCACTGTAGCGAGAGTCGCTCGGACTCGTACTCTGCTAGCTGACGAAGGTGGCCGTCGCATTGGGACGCCTGGAGACAACATCAAACAATATTATGAATTAAATAATCTATCATATACATATCTATTCTATTCACTGGACTACAGGGTCCCGGACTTTTGGAAGGCGTAGAAGGGGCCGAAGCCAAAGTTCAAACTGGCTTTGGCTTGGCCAAGCTAAAGCCAGTTTGAACAACTTTAATATAAGTGAAATGGGACATCCGCCGGCAATTATCCCTGTATGTACTATGAAAGTGCACCTTGGGTTGATGCAGGACTATTGTGAAATATGGTAAAAAGGTTAGGTTGTGATAGGGTTATAGGTATGGGTTGCTATGGTCTAGTGGATATTTATATTAACTATGGAAATACTATGGCCCCTGCCCCTGACGAATATTGATACATGCGGATAAACAGGCAGGGGGTGACTGGCAAACTCAATTAATGGGCTCCGGAAACGGCCGCTAGCATGTAGCGACAAGGAGGCAACATACGTTGAGCTGCTTGGGAAAGAAGAGACATCCCAAGGCTATCAGAGCAATCCCGGAACACGGTCAAGACCCCTAGTCCCCTACCTTGCTGAGATACATCCTTTCAACTCCTAGGTACTCTTGGGAATCTCTACTGAAGCCAGCCAATTAAGGCAAGAATGAAAAAAAGTTTGTACAACAATATTGAGGTTGACCTCTCCTTTTAAGTGTGAAACCACCTGTGCCAGGAGAGGCCGCTCTCCCTTATCTTGATTCGGTACATTTATGTAACATTAAGAACTTATACTGATGTTCTGATGACTTATAATGAGGTAGGAGGGTTTGTTCCTCAGTGGTCATTCCAGCTGGTCACGAGGACTAACCAGAGGTGAAGGACAAGACACCTCCCGAGAGTCAGGTCCGTGGGGTCGCCACTGCCCAACAGTTCGCCACAAGCTGCCTTGCGGATATACATATCTATAATAATTATTACGAGGTTTCGCTTGCGGCTTTGCACGCGTATTATAGTAGGTACATTATAGTACAAGTGTGTAAAGTTGGTGATTACCGCGCTTTGAGGCCTGAGCCGTGAGGCGAGCGTTTTAAAGAGCAAGTGTTGAAAATTACTTTTTCATACCCTATATTTATAGATTATAACTAACACATAAAGAGGTAAAATAAATTCGTAAAATGTGTTAGTAAGCGCATAACTCAACAACGCCTTGACCAATTTTGCTAATTCTTTTTTTGTTGTATACCTGATAATAGTACCTAAGTACTATTATCAGGAGATCCTTATCAAAGAACATAATATTAGAAAAGTAGACGGGAAAATTGGAAAAAGTGATATTTTCGTTGTGAGCGAGATTGTTAGACCTGTGCGAAGCGGGTGCGAACGGCTAGTATTAAACAAATTAGTGTTCGTTGGTCTCGCTAATTCTCTGAAACGGTTGAAACGAATAATCCTAATCCCTCCCCCTCCCCCTTCCCCTTCCCCTTCTAAATCCTTAAACATCCGAAACCCTTATCCCTAAAACGCCGCCTAAACGCTCTCGTAACTCCTTATGTGTTGCAGATGTCCATGGGCGGCGCTGATTGCTTACCATCAGGTAATCCGTCTGCTCGTTTGCCGTCCTACACCACAAAAAACAATGGGCGCAACCTTCTCTGGTGTATATCACCTACCTTCTTATCCAGGGTGCTCTGTAGCCTGTCAATCTGTTCCTGCATCAGCTTCACTTTGGAAGACAGGAATTTGCATACATTCTCTACTGTGGGCCGATCTGAAATTGTAAGTACAAAAGAAAATAAATTTAGCGACATCTATCGCACTACATTAACAACAGCACCAATCACGTGCAAGATTCTACATCGCGGTATAAGAGTTCTCTACACAATTAGAAACGATACAAAAAAATTCCGACAACAACCGTGGGGCAGTAGCCCAGCAGGCACGAACATCTCGCCTGGTCGAAGGAACCTTCCTTTTCAATAGAGGATGAGTAACTTTCCACCCTGTCCTCTCATACCTCTAAATAAACATAAGTCTTTGTATAGGATATAGGTATACTATGATGGTAAGCAATTGGTGCTTCCTATGGACACCAGTGCAGTAAGAGAAATATGATGCTGGTCTTGTGAGGGTCATGAAAGATTTGAGGCTTGCCAGGGTTGCGGGGTAAGCGCAATGAGGCAACGCGACCTCGGCCCAGAGCAGGAGAAGGAATGGAGGGGTTTATCAGTAGTAGTCAGTAAAAGTCTAACACTCCCCGACGCCCCACCCTGGGCGTAAGAAGTCATTTCATGATTTTCTCCGAACAAAAAAATGGAGATGGGTATGGAGAGGGGATTAGGTTTTCTCATTGCTTCATAGGTATATTTCTACAGGGGGCTCTTAATAGGTCTCTACAGAGAAATAAGGGATGTAAAGAATATATCAATATAAAAGTAAACAAGTATAAGATTTACCTTTCAAAAATGACTGCGGCAACACTTTTTCTTTTACATTAACAGATACAAAAGCATATAAAAATTCATCATTATCACCAATTCTACCAACATTAAAATTGGCACAACAGTTGCAAGTATTAAAACTCTTTGGCACAACCTCTTCACTAGTTACAATGCTAACAACATCAGGACTTTGTTTTCCATTTTCAATTTTGCCGCTTTCATGTTCCGGTGTTGTTTGTGGTTTTTTCTTTTTTTGTGCAGGTTTTGTTAGAGGTAAAGGCGACTCTGTGTTAGGCTTATGGCTTTCACAGTTATGTTTCTTTATTGTATGGACTGGTGATAAGGTAAGGTTTGGTGAGAACTCAGAGAATATATCTTGTTTTTGCTGAAAAAATAATTTTAAATTATTAATAAAATAGGTAATATCTTGCATACAACCAAACAGCCTGATTTTGAATATGATCAAAACTGATTGGTTTATATATAATTTTAAGTTAATATTTATTTTCCATGGGCTAAATTAAAGATTTGAATAAGAATTTTTCAAAGTTACTCCTTACGAAGATGTATAAATGAATTAAATAAAATTAAATTATTAATTTATATATATATATAGATTAATTAATTGTATGTATTATTATGGAAATTTAATTTAATTTTTAAACACTCAACTTGTACCTAATTCATTTATACATCTTCGTAAGGAGTAACTTTGAAAAATTCTTATTCAAATCTTTAATTTAGCCCATGGAAAATAAATATTAACTTAAAATTATATATAAACCAATAATTTTTGATCATATTCAAAATCAGGCTGTTTGGTTGTATTAAAGAGAAATAATGGATATACTCATTCTTCACCTTGTTAAATGTTCATGTTTAATGAAGCATCTAGCGGCTAGCGTCACTGCGCGTGCGGACAGGCTGACAAACTTTATTTATACCATTTCTTCTTTTGATATTACAAAATTAGTTTTTTATAAAGTTGAAATAAATGTGGATGAGTAATTTGAAGGGCTTGAAAAGTTGGTAGTTAGGTACTAATCTTATGAATTCCAATCAACTTTATATGAATTTATTATTATATAGCAAATAGATTTAATTATATGGATAAGCATCTTATTCTGCAGCCTATGATTATGATAGACCGCTATTGGTCTATGGGCTTTCCTAGCTAAATAGAGTTTCTCATCAGTTCATTTCTTTCATCACATTTCTTCAATTTATAGGATTTAATACATGAAATTCTCACGCCTTACTTCATGGCAAATATACGAATTTATTTACGATTATTTTAAAGCATTTTGAACGATATTGTTTCAATTTAAAATGTAATAAAAGTGTAGGTAAGTTTAGAACAAAAATAAAACAAACCATAGCTTGCTCGATTTCCTTCATCAAACTTTCTGTTTTCTTTTCAAGTTGTTTGTTGAGTTTCTTGAACTCATCTTCACGTGCTAACAAGTCTAGAGAGTCCATTTTATTGTGATATTTATAACTTAAACGATAAGAAAAACAAGCAGTGACATTAGCACAGTTAGCTCAACCTGTAACTTGTGATTAACTTGCTAAATTAAGGAGTTGTTGCTATATTTTGTATCGTAATACTTACATCACCTTTTCAATTCATCCGGGTTTTAATGTAATCAAATAAATTTCGTTGCTATGGTTACGGGACGCAATTTGATCAAACACAGACCCATACTAATTGCTAGTGTACTCAACTGAAGTACTTTTTTTAGTGTGAAACGGGAGTAATCTACTAAATAAAGAATATGTTGGTGCAAAATAATATATTTAATTGCATTATGAATTAATCATTTAGGATAAATGTCTTCAATTTGCTGTATGTTTTGGTGTTAGTGAGAACATGCTGCCATCTAGTGTTCAAACTAGGACACTACAAAAGACCTCGGTCGTGTCAAAAACAGCTGTATTCTAGCCAATGAGAGCAGTCCTACAATTGTCAATATGTTTTCTTTGTTGCATACACACACATACAAATACTTGTTGACACATTGCTTTGTTTCCCATATGATTTGGATTGGAAAGATCCGAATACTTATCATCGAATAAATATGACGCACTGATAGTAGGGTACAAAAACAGATGATTAGGCTTAAAATTGCTCAAAAATATCGCTTGGATTACCTTAAAATCTTATCAAGGTCGTTACACTATGAGCGAGAGATCAGATGAGAGAAAGAGACGACGATGCAAACTTATGTGTGCTACAGAGATTTTCAATCGATTTACCAATGAGAACGAACTGAACCCAGCTGACATGTTAGTGTGCTACTGTCGCGGGCGGATATTAGACGCTCGCTCTTGCGACAACCGAATTTGCATTAAAAAATCTCAAATTGGACTGCGTTTTCGCGTCCGGGCATTGATTAAACAGTGTAATAATGTATTTTAAGAGAAAAAGAAACGATTACCGAAGTGTTATATTATAGCCCAGGTGTTTGGAAGTGGAGTTGAACGACTTAGTTAGCGGCCGTAAAAGGTAATTCTATTCCATGATTATTAACATATGTTTGGTTATTTCTTTTTTCCTGTTTCGTAAATATGTATCGTAATCCTGCATTTTAGAAAGTTAATTGACATGTACATGTGTGTTACAATGCGATTAATTTATGTTGTTAACTGTAATACTCGACTTACTAAGTTGGAAAGTGTATATTTAAATCGGTGGTGTTTTCGATTGGTAGTAGTTTATAATGTACTTATTTATTGCGTAAATAAGTTAGGAAATGAAGTGTTTATAAGAAATCAAACGTTAAATTTGTGATTGGTTAAGAAAAACGATAGTAAAAAGTCAGCTGTTCAGTGTCTACGCCCTCTAAAAGTGCTTTGTGGTATGTTTTTTTTTTAATAAACAAGTTTCGACTGGGCTCAGGTCGTTTCGGGTTCGTCGTGTACCGTTAGTGATGTGCAGGTATCGATTTTTTTGTATATCGATGCGCTCACCGTACGTTTCTCTTTGTTCTTGTTCTTAGCGTTGCGATATAGTTATTAATATTCGTTTATATGCATTTAATTGCGTGTCACTTTGGTTAATAATGATGACATAATTTTCTTCTACGAATTTTATTTTTCATATTATTAATTTTACATGTTTTGAAAATTATTATGATAATTCGTTTTTTTAGTTATGCGTCTTATCGTGACGAGAATAAATCAAAATTAAATCGATTATTATAATTTTGCAGCCATGCAAAGCCATAAAAAATATGATTTTTATGGCATTAAAAATTAGGTACTTGATATTGTTGTTAAGATGTTTAAATATATTAGGTTTCGTAGCATTGAAATGTGCACCTGTGCAGTAAGAGATATTAAAGTTTACCTATGCATGCTTATAAATATCATACCAGGGCAGGTATAAATGAAAATAAACTGTGTTGGTAGGTATCTACAAACATCATTAAATTGCCATTATTTTCCCATTAAACGCTCTGTATTATAATGTAACTACTGTGAATTCAATAATAAAATGCATGCATGAACTTATTTCAAATTCAAACTAAGCTATTCTCGCGCGGTTTCACCCGCTGCTCAATGTTTTATATCCTATAGCACCCAGGAACATTGTAGCTATCTAGCAGTGAAAGGATTTTGGCTATCCGACCAGCGGTTCCAAAGATTACCCCCTACATACAAACTTAAAAAACCTCTTTAAAATAATATTAGTATAGATTTAAATTCTAAATTTTGAATGTAACGGAAAGCAATATGGCGTGTTGCCGCATCAAAAAATTCACTTTCACACAATGTTTGCGTGTTTGAACATACGGCGTTATGTACTTTCTAGTTTTTGTGCGATGCATAGGAAAAAAAGTTCGTTTGTTCGTCGTTAGTCGACGCTGCGTTTCCATATTTTATGATATATTGTTTGTAGGTTTTTTCTTTTTATTAAATTCATAATGGATTACTGTTTCATCTGCTAACAATAGGCTTTTTCGTGTTTTCGAAAGCAGTTTATGTACATAATAACATTGGAATACCCGAAAGCTATTTATTGCCTACGTTTTGGTAAAATTTCAACTTAACCTAACCCTTGTAAACTCTCGCCATCGTAATTTTAACGTGTCAATACGAAATTAATCGCATTCAAAATGGTCTCCCTACAAATAAGTGTATCGTTGTGTCGGAAATAGGTTCAGGGCATCACTTCCCGGCTCGGTCAACGTTGTTGCCACGTATCTAGCTATTACGGTGCTCTCCCTTGGTGTACGAAAATCGGCCCTTTGTGTTAGGCACGTCGCTCGTTACGCTCCTCTTCGGATAGGCAGCGACAATGAAATGAAATGCCACTATTTCTGTCCTTGTCTTTAAGTGTTGGTTTTCGAAATACATACTATTCTATTTCCCTGTATCCTACTAATAATATAAATGCGAAAGTTTGACAGAATGTATGTTTGTTATTCTTTCACGCGAAAACAGCTAGATCGAGTACGTTGAAATGTGTGTGTATGTAGATCGGTGATAGCTCCGATTATCACATATGCTGCTTTTTAACAACATTCCACGTAGACGAAGCCGCGGTCGGAAGCTAGTAGAAATAAAATATAAGTACGTATAAGTAACATATTTTTTTTTATTCTGTCAAAAAATCTAAATAATGACAATCTGCACACAAAATAATAATCTGTAGAAAAAGTACCAAAATCTTTGCTTTTTTGTATTAAAGTTTTATTAATAACAACTCAGCTGTTTAGAGCTTAGTGTCATGTCGTTTGGATATTTGTATCGTGTTTCTCAATTCTGTACGTTATTTTAATATTACAATAATTAATATTAAGTATATGCATTCAGTTATAAAAATGTCCTTCGATCCTAATACACGAGGCTTTCTATACATATACGATTGCGATTATCGCGATTGAAATGGCATGTTACTGTTCCTTATCGTTGACATATGCCCGGTTCCTATAATTGAGAAACGATCCGTTTTAGTTACGAATAGTAGTTTTATATACGACTCGTAAGCTAAAACCGTTCCTATAACAAACGTCTCGTCGTGCAACTTACTGACGGTTTGCAACTAACGGATGTCGGTAAGCGAATTGTATGGAGATCTATGGTGTCTGTGGTTTTCCTATAAATATTTTAACCGTCAGTAGACGGTCAAGATAACTATTCGTAATGTCATTTGGTCGTAATGCGTATACAACGACGATTCGTTAAATATAGGAACCGGGCAATAATTTTTCCTATTTATCTAAATTCATCAGTAATCAATGTCAAAATATTAAACCTAATATTGGAATACATACATTTAAACTTCACTACATAGTATAAAACAAAGTCGCTTTCTCTGCCCCTATATCCCTATGTACGCTTAAATCTTTAAAACTACGCAACGGATTTTGATGCGTTTTTTTTTTTATTGTAGAGCGATTGAAGAGGAAGGTTTATAAATATGTAGAATGACATCCATTGATTAGTAGAGAAATCTAGTGTTAACATTGCACCCGGGGCGGATCGCTAGTTCTATATAAAAATCTTTGCTCCTTGAGTATAATTCTATGTCCAAAATAAAAAAAAATGCCTAGGAATCTTCTAGGCCCGAGTGAATAGGTTGCTTATGGGTAGGCGTGCTCCATCGTAGGTCGCATCATCGATTACCATCAGGCGTGAAAGCGGCCAAATGCAGCACACAATAAAAAATGACATGCTTGTAGTTATTTTTTTACTTTATTTGTTTTTATTTATTTTTTTACTTTATTTGCCATAATACAAAATGGCGTTTGAGATGCAAACCCAAATGTCAATTAAAAGAGAGGTCTCTTGATTTTTGGGGTTCGGTAAAAGTATTTTTGACGTGATCCCTTCACATGATACTACTCGTAATAACACAGATAACGGTGAAGCCCCTCTTTCACTGCATTATTCTGATCGCCCTCCTCCCGCTACCCTCCTCCCACAAGGCCAGATTATAGGGAAATATATTTATCAACTGCGCATTGGTAGAAACAGTTTTAAACGTTGAATGTGATCCTTATTTCTGCTACATAAAGATGTTTAAATCGCATGTTTATTGCACCTACAAGAATATATTTTTTAATTGAATATTTTTTAGGCCACAGTTATTTAACGATCCCTAATTATAATGTTTATAGAAAAAGTTTCACTTTTCGTGTCCGGCCCACTTTTCTATAACATCGATAGTGACGCACCTCCGACCGGAAAACGTAACGGTAAAAAATATCGATAAAACCTATTTGCACGATTATTCGTCGTTTTATGTTTACTTTGATTGGTTAAATAATATTTGTAATTATAAACAGCTGTGGTTACGTACGTACGAGTATTATGAAAAACAAAAATTAAAGAAATAATGGTTTGTGTAATAATAAATATCGCACTTTTTATAAGCAAATAAAAAAATGTGTCACTGCTACCATTTTTCTTTTGATTGGGAAGTTAAAGGAAGTGTGGACGTCAAGTAAGGGTGGCACGCGCGTAGAATTGTC